ACACACTGGTGGCTCTCCACGTTTTGGTTTCTGTTCAGACTCATTTGTCCTGGATCTAAGAGTGAAGAAAAATGTTTTATTGGATTATAATTTTTTTACTTTAGAACATTTTCCGAGTAGTGAATTGGTTCTCAGATCTGCTACCTGTAATGGAGACTGTTTTTACCAGATCCAGAGGCTTTCTTGACTGACGTATTAGAAATGGAAAATACACATTAGGTAGCAGCTGAAGAAGTATTAACTGTGAAAATCCTTTCTGCAGTTGTGCTTTCCTGGTCTATGAAACACTTTCCCTCCCACTCAGCCTTGCAATGCAGTACTCAGATTTAGCTGTATTCTCAGTTCCTTTTGCTTGCTAAAAAGGTCAGTATCTGTTAGCAAGCGAGGATGTGTTGTAGAGATCAGTTTTTATTCCTTTTTAAGAGAATGGAGCTCTATTGAACACAAACAGAGGAAAGCCTACCGATAATTTCTATCTGTTAAAACATGCTGTAATTGCTGTAGGGAATTTTCAAGCTTGTTGGAATGATCTACATATTTTATCATTTAGGTTTCTCATTGTTTAGAAAGCCAGTTTCTAGATTCAGCTTTTTAGAACATCATTTCTACTTCACTGTGATATATTTTCTCATCTGTGTAAACTCATGTGACTTCCTCACTTGAACAACCATAATAATTTAAGGTCAAGATGTATCAAATTAGGATTGAAGTCCCCTAATTTTTTTTTGAATGCAGTTAGATACCCCCTGTGCTGGAGAGTTATGAATTTAGATCTGTGATTTGTTCTAGGAGTACCCAGTACTGATTCTTGTTTCTAAAGTCATAAATGGCCAGAATTTAGTCTGCTTTGCTCAGCATTTCCATATGATCACCTTTTTTGTTGCATTTGTTAGAATTTTGCGGTCTTCAAGGAAAGCCGGATACAGTTTTTTCAATAATAGGATTATTGTCACGATGCTGGACATCTCCAGTCACTGGAAAGGAATATGTGGATTGAAGTGAGCTCAAGCCCTCTTCAAAGTTTATTTTATTAATTGTTAATTTTTTATATTTCATATTGGGCTGTGCCCCACACAGTCTTCTCACCCTCACTGATCTGGCACAGGAGGGCATTATTTATTCTTTCTTGTTCTTTGTTAATCAGGGAAACCTGATGATTCACTAGTGCTGCTGTGTTATCTAAACCCAAGGTTACCCTTTAGTCTCAATGGTGTTGAGAGTACAACTCACTTTATGATACTTTATTCTCCAAGTTTGCTGGTTTTTTTGCTCTTCTCTGAGCTCTACTCGAGTGTGGGTGTTCTCATTAGAAACAAGATTTTCTAAGTTTTAGGAGAACCAAGAACATTCCCTTTTCAAGAAATTGGTGCCTGGAAAGGCTTCACCCACATTTTTATGATAGGCATGCAGTAATTGTAAAACTAGTCTGATTTATACACCTCATCCTGGTCTACAATTGAACTATTTGAAATCATAGCTGGAATTGAAACTGATGTTCCCTCCAACAATGTTTTCAAAGATGGAATAGAAAGGTCAGACTTTGCAGTATCAATAAATAAGAAGCATGGATACAAATTGTATTTAACTTGTTTATTTTTCTTCTCATAATCTTGATTTTTTTCAGATAGTAAAGAAATTTCATTATTGTGAATAGGTTCCTGTCTTTGGGGTTTGCTTTTGCTTTTACAAACTCACTTTGATAATCTACATAGAATTTGAAACTAAATTTGTCTTTCATGTGAGTAGATATTAACTGCTGAACAGTGAAAAAACTTTGTCTTAAAGATTTGTAAAACTTTGATTTATCAACATTGAGGTATCAGTTCATGCATAAACTGAACAAAAATACTCAATTTTCTTTAAAACCAAACTCAAAATCACTCAGCTTCTTTTTATTCAATATTATTAGTCTCTTGGTTGAGAATTTCTATAGGAAAAATAACATTTTGACTGGTTAACAGATATAATAAAAGTGTTGGCTAATATAGTCAATGATTTGTGTCAAGAAATCTGTTCAAGGTGTGTTCACAGTGAAGACAAGACAGGCTGCAGAGTATAGGAAGATCTCAAACTTTTATTTTTCTATATTTTCTTGGAACTATATTTTTGTCCTTCTTGGTTTTACAGTTTAACTGGTTTCAAACTCTTCCTGAGTATTAAAGTCTTCATGAAATTGTATGTTTGGGGTCTTGTTGGATTCTGTTTTGAGAAAAGATGCAGAAATGGTCACCTATACATGTCTGGAAAAATCAAGCAAAAGACTTTTAAAGCTTTTAAGTGTTTATAATATTTTGTTTGTTTCCAAGAAGATTGAAGAAAATATTCTTTCTTTGTATCTCTTAAACTTGTAATATAAATCCTTAAATTCTGCAAGTTATAGGCAATTAAACACATATAGATTCATTAACTTCAGTGATTATTCCTTTTTTAACAAATATCTCCTGACTGCTCCTTGCCATGTGTGCTATATATAATTATGTATATTAAACATTATAAATCACAAATACATTGTTATCTGAGAAGATCTTTATGATCATGATGTTGTAAGTGAAAAGATGCATCTATGGAAGCTTTTGCTCAAGATGTAGCTTATGTTTTCTTCTGTATCAAAATGTAGGTATTGCTTCTAACTTCAATATGTTAGGAAGTTTTTATCATTCTTTCAAAAACATGATTCTATCTTTCATTAATATATTGAGTTATTTGTTTGTTTACTTTGGACATTTTTTAGCGTTTGGTCTCAGTTGGTTTGGATTCAAAAAATACAGTTTGTGTATGGGACTGGAGAAAAGGAAAATTGTTATCAATGGCTCCTGGTCATACAGACAGAGTAAGTATAACTAAAGGATCTGAGTGCCAATGTAATGTTAATTTGTTAAACCACGTCTGTGTACAATTACTAGAGCTATGTCTGAACACAAATCATTTTCTATTTTAGAAATTGAATTTACATAAAGTTTGGATATGTATTAAGATGTGTGAAGATATTTAAGATACATGCATTTGTTTCTAAAATAAAATGCGTAACTCAGCATTTGTTTGTGTATGGTTTGTTGAGACTGTAAGCATGGCGGGGAGATGTAGAATTAATACGCTTTCTAGACCCTAAGTCCCATATGGGAAATCAAAATGCAAATAATTGCTTAAATTTTATAGTCTGTAAATGAACCTTAATGTTGTTTTATCATTTGTTTTAATTATTCTAGGGGGAAAAAAACCAGAAATCACACAAATTATACATTGCAATTTCAGTATTGAAAGAGAGGATAAAAAAGTCATTCCAATAAATCCATTTAAAGCATTTCAGACTCTCTGTTAATTTGCTATAAGTTTTTACTGTTTTAACTGTCCCATGCTAGAAAGGCCATCTCTGCTGATATCCTTGGTATTTTTTTATGCAGATATTTGATATTTCTTGGGATTTATACCAGCCAAACAAGCTCGTCAGCTGTGGTGTAAAACACATCAAGGTAATGAGATAAATGGTAATTTATAAAATATTTAAGCTGCAGTAGTATATACTCTATAAAATATATAAAAATAGGATCTAAAAGGAATATATGATGAAAATATGGAAAGTCCTCTGTATAAATAATATTACTTTTTAGGAATGGCAATCATGGATCACGCCTGACTACATTAGACATTTTATGAGATTTATGTAGTGGAAAACAGACCCTCTCTGCTCAAAAGAGTTTGTGCCCTGACAGAAGGAAAGCAGTAGACATGAAACAGTTGTCCGTAGCACTGTATGTCATGATTGTAATATAATTTAAAATTTAGATTGTCTGAAACAATCCCAAGTAGCATAAGACAGGATGCACATGTTTAAGCTGAGTCCAGGTACTCAAGTTTCTGATTCTTGAACAGTGAAGGAATTATTGCACTACAGAGGGGAGATGAGCTGAAAAACCTTTGCTTACCGTTTGAGAGAGTATGGAGAGTAAGTGGAAAAGAAAGGAAAATTCTTGATCTTTCTTTTAATTCTTTTCCCAGCTGTTACTTGTACCTTTATCATTTGGGGCACTCTGTACCTGTTACAGGATTCATGATTTGGACAGTTCATGTCTTTTTCAAAGATGGTTTGTTTGATCCATGTACCAAGTACTGTGCAGAAAAATCTTTTTCACATTTAACTCTGGAAGCAGGTTTACCAATGCTTGACTGCCATGAAATATGGTTCTTACAAAAAGTCTCTGCTCTCTTCCAAGCAGTGTCTTCTATTTTACAACATAACAGCCATAGATGGCAGCTTGAAAGTCCTGTATTTCTCTTTTGTGTAGGTTCCCATGGTGCGGAAAATGTGTTGCTTTTTATACAATGAACTTTTAGATTTATATTTATTAATGGTTTATTGGAAAAAGTCTTCAAGGTGTTGCCTAGATTGCATAGGTCAGATTTGGCAGAGTGTTTAGCATATCAGTTACAGATTTCCATGAGCTCTGATCAGAATTTTTAAATGATTATTAATAACGGAGTGACTTGCTGTGAAATACAGTTTCATAAACGTGTATACAGAAAACACACTGAGACAGCATAAGAAGAACTTGTCAGCAGTGATGAAATAAATGCTTTTATGTTCTCTACTGTATTACTTCAGCAGCTTCTTGATTTTTCCCATGCTCATTTACATGTTTGGACAGGAGAGTTGGAAATGAATATGCAAGTGTTTCTTGTTTGCTACAAGTGTATCTACTGTGTGTATCAGGATATTTGGTTGGCAAGTACTGTGCTCTGACAAGAGACTTTGCACGTCTTTAGTTTAGGTGTCATTAATACATGTTGGGTCACCTAGGAGGAAATTCACCTTCATGTGATTGCTGTAATCATGTGCTAATGCTTTATTAGAAGGTTCCTAAAAATCTCCCCCTTAGATGGCTGCTTTGTGTGATCAGGGGTTCTGATGAGAGTAGATAAGTCTCTAATAAAACCAGCTGTTTTCAAACAGAGCAAATAGCAGCTTTATCAGAAATCTACATGCTTAGATGACATATTTAAATGTCTAAAGTACAAAATGCAGCATAAAGTACAAATGCAGCATTTACAATGTGGAAGACTTACACCAAAGAAAGATAATTCTATTAGGAAACGCTTTTTAAAAATGACTTAAAATACAACTAACTCACTAATTATTATTTCAAAGAATATTAGATTGATTTAATACCTCAAAATTCCTTCCCAACTAGCCTGCTCTGCTGCTTTTATGGAAACATAAAGTTGGTTAATAGCATAAAAAGTTGTTAAACAACTGCAGAACTAAAGCATGGAAAAGGCTATGAATGATCATGATCAAGCAAGGTACTTCTCTTTCAGAGGTACGTATTGAATTATAGGATATTAGCAAAATACCTATCTTTCTAAATCACTTTATGTTACAGTTCTGGAGTTTGTGTGGCAATTCATTGACACCAAAACGTGGTGTTTTTGGCAAAACCGGTGATCTCCAGACTATATTGTGCCTCGCCTGTGCAAGGGATGAAGTGACGTATTCTGGTGCATTGAATGGAGATATCTACGTATGGAAAGGAATCAACCTCGTAAGGACAATACAAGGAGCACATGCTGTAAGTATATCTCTTTAAATTAATACAAAATGTTAAGTAGATTTCTGCTGAGCTGGGAAGGGCCATGCAGGGTCATCTTGTCCGTGTTCATAAACAGTTTCAATGATAGAGACTCAGTATGTCTTGTTTGAATGGTTTTTAGAACAGTATACAGCTTTGAAAAGTGAAGACATCTCAATGAACGTTAAATAACATTTTTCGAAAGTGCTTGGTAACATTTTAATTAAAATGTTTAATGCAACTATTATAATTTGGTTATAATTTGGTTATATAAGTTTTAATTATCTTTTCCATATTATTTCAAAACATATAGTTTTGAGATTAAAATAGGCAGCAAAGAAACCACTTAGTGTGTTGCAGTCTGATTTGTGGATGCCAAACTATGAGAGTCCTCATTTCCTCTCCTGGTAGTAATTTGGTAATATAATGCAAAATTTGACTTCAATTTTATTTAAGTATCACCTTAAAAACAATGCCAATTTGTTTTACCCTATGAGGTGTGAAACTGCTAAGCTCACTTTATAAAGCTATATGATTTTCTGGTTGAATGTTAATTTTTGTTTTGGAAAGCGCTATACTTTCTAGCTAATATTTGAAATTCCATTTTTAGCAATTTAAAATAGTGTGAAAGTACAAGCTTATGAGTTCCAATATTGCAGCTTCAAACTTTTAGGTAAAAATCAATAACAGTTAAGTATTCTTGCGTCTAAGAATGTGTTTGTTTTAACTGGCAGTGTTGGACTGGGTGGGATGATGTTTGTAACTGATGTATAAGATTAATTTTTTATGATTTAATCAGGTAGAAAGGAGGGGAGTAAGGGATGAGTGATATGTGTGTGGGGGAGAGGTTACAGTCAGTTGTAGAGGAGGCTCTTGGTTTACCAGAGATTTAGAAACATCATTCAGGATGGTAGCAGCTTGTTGAATGAGCTAATAATTTAAAAGAGGCTGCACTGGTTATTCAGACAGTCGTACAATGACAGTGTACCTGACTATGAACAAAAATAAAGCTATGAAGAACATATGTGTGCAAAACATATCTCAGACTATCTTTTGAATTTAAGATTTCTTTATGTACATATAAGTGTATGGGTATATATATATAAACACATAAACACACACACATACAAGCATACTGTCCTGTATGCATCTACAGAAATATTAAATATATTCAAGAAGCCACAAATTATTAATCAGGAAGCATGAAAGGATATTTTAGTCTTCAAATATTCCTTGATTCTTACTCTATAACTTCTTGTTTTAGTCTTCATATTTACTGTTGAGTAGTGTTCTGTTCTATTCTATATTTTCCTATGAAGATGTGGACATAGCATATGCAGACCTGAATTCCCAGAAGAAAAGGTACGCTTTGTCTCCTATCCAAAACTGATGCCAAAATATTCTCTCATCCTGTTTGGTGCTGTAGGAGACAGCTGTCCTGCATATGAACATATTTGTTATTTGTAGTATTTAAAATTGCAGCAGTTTATTTCTCGAAATAATGCAGTGCTTTTCAGCTGTTTCAGTGTGAAATGACACAACTGGCAAATGTAGGATGATGAGAGCTTGTTGCTCCACTACCTTATGTGCTGTGTCAGTTCTTAGTTGACCACAAGATCAAACTTGAAGTGCTGTGTTCCTTATCTTCTTTAGCGTCAGTGGATGGAGCTCAGGTGACCTTGGAGTAGGTCTCATCTAGCCTTCTATTTTGGGCTCTGTCCTGTAAGCTCAATGGCATTGTACTTTGCAGTACTGAAAATTAAGTAGGGACACCAGTCCATGTCTTTGAAGTTCATTTTTACAAGAGATTAGAGTCAGTAATAAAATGTTACCTTAAAAGATAATATTGACAGATCATTATAATCACAACATATAGCAACTTGAAATGAGAGTGCCTCTTCAACCGTACTAAATTATTATCATGATATTTTATGGTTATTTTGTATCTAATTTTATCAATTATGTCCTTTTGAAAGAAAATGCAAGTGTAAATAACAGCATTTGTGATGCACATATGTTGCTAAAGGGACAGTGTGAACATAGTAGGGAACTGATATAAATTTCTGTTCAGTATGATAGTGTTGGAATTGTTGTCCTTGCATGCCTGTTTATCTTCCTGCATCATTACTCCTCAACAGGCTTGAAGTAAACTGTAAATTTTTTGAAGGAAGACATGTCTCATTATTTACATAAATACCATGTATTCCTCTCTTGCAGCATAAACAGTAGATATCTGAAATGCTGGAAAGCACTTTCTAAAACACATTTGTTATATGGAGATATAGTCCATCTCCACAGTTATTGAGTTATTATTAAGGCTGCATTAATATAGAAAACATTCTTTTTGAAGGTTGGCTATCTTTGTTACAATTACCCAAGCTAAAAAGATATTTTTAATGTCTTTTTAAGAATAATTCAATGTGAAAAATAAAACATGATGTCCTAGTGTAAGCAACCAAGGAAACACGTAGCAACTTTAACACTAACAAGCAAAATAAGAATTCTTAATTAAGCCAGTTTATCTGTCTTCTGTCACAGCAATACTGAAAAGTGTAAAGAGAGGAAAGTAGAATTTCCTGCAGTTCCCTGTCTGAGTTTGAGTAGAAACAAAAGGTTGAAAGCAAATAGGTTGGCATGACTGGAGAAATAGAAAAGGATTGGAGAGTTCACTTAATATAGAAGTAGGAATGAAAAGTAGGAAAATATGGAAAGGAGCAGGGCTTGGGAGTAAAGGCACACAGTTTATGTGCAGGGAACAATGGATAGCAATGGGAAACTCCAACTCTAGATTTGCTGATGCCTTGTAAGTAATAATACTAATAATGAAAGTTTTAAAAGGGAGAAAGAAAACAACAACATGAAAGCATGTGTAAACTCATTGGAGATGGTAATACTCCAGGAGGTTAATACTCCAGGAAAGTTAATATATACCTTGAATAACTAAAAAAACCTAAAAACACTTTTATTAGATGTCTCATTTTTGTACCAGTGCAAAGAACAGCTTATAGACTCTTCTACTTATTTTATCATCTCACTTGTTCTAAATTCAAGGCAGTCCATGCATATAGGTGTTACTCGGATATTAAAACAAAATTGTGTGCTTATTTAAAAACCCTGTATGTTTTAAAGATTCTTGTATGATATGCCCCTGCCTTGAATAGTAAATGTACATAAGATGCTTTTTCAACAGATGAATAATTAATTTTGAGATAGTCTTTCAGAGGTACACATTAAAGTTGTGCGGATTGATGTCAGAAACTGAGGTTAAATAACAAGCTTGAGGTTAAATAACAGGCAGTCTGTTAAAACTATTGCACGCCTATGTCAGTTGGCTGGATACTAATTAAATATAGATGGAAACAATATAATGAACTTAAATGAATGGCTTTAAGCTGGTATCATGTACCAACACATGCAGTGTTTCTCCTACTGCTTAGAACAGTTATTGTTTGAAACATAACTGTCCACTTATTTTAGCCAAAGAGAGGTGTGTAGGCAACTGTTTTAAATTGTTGTGGTACTATGCGCATTTTTAAATTGTTTCATGGGTGATTTGTTAGGTAGGAAGACTAAAAGGTAGCATCTCTCCACTGTAAACTTACTGACACAAATGCTTGCAATCCATTTCCTTACTATGCAGTATATATTGGGAAAGACAGTGTCTCAAAGTGCCCAACATATGTGCTGCTGTACATGCTTTACAAACATCTATGTCCTGTATTGTATCTGGGAGTAAAAAGGAGGCATTGGAGTTCTCTTTGAACGGGTATAATGTCTCTGTTCTCCATGTTGCTCAGTAGTATTCAGTTGCTTCTGAAGTTTCCTTACGATCTTTCAAGCTTGGTCCTAATTATAGTTAACTGCAGTCATGTGTTTTAGGAATTGCATAGTCACGGTTAGTGAGGTGGCTTTTATACAAACAACTACATTTAGATAAATTAGCACTTGATTTTTGTCCAGGGGGAGCAAAATAGTTGTGGCAGCAATAGATAACTGAAAATTCTCTCAGTATTGGAAACTTCTTGGATTCAAGCAGTGGCAAAATATTCATGCAGTAGAGACCATTCGTGTCAAGTTTTCTTGTAGTTTTCCAGCTTTCAACTATAATTTCTGGTAGATCTGGGCATTTATTTCTTTATTTGCTCTCAGTCCACTTTTTTTTTTTTTTTTTTTTTTCCAAATTTGAAGGAGAACACAGATGTGATACCAGCTGGTTATGTTGGAAAAACAGGAAATATTCAGCATTCTGAGAAAACTGCTGATCAATTTGAGATATTATTTCCAGAATTTCAAAGTTCATTAAGAAGTGTAATGAAAATTTATAAAGGAAGAATGCAGTCTGTATATCAAGCTTCATAGCTTTTCAGATGGAAGACTTTGATCTACACCTTTTATTTTGATTCAGGTGCACAGTCTTTGTGGCTCACATTCAATCAGATCTAAAAAAGTCAGTGCGATTGTTCGTCTCTCATTACTGCTAGAAGGCTTTTGACCATCAAAAATCACATTATGTTAATGAAAATTTCAGGCTAAAGGATTGAGAGAAGCATGAAGACTCCAAAGTTGATTTGTATTAACAATCTTGACAGTTTCTGAAAGGAAGGATTTAGGGGAGGAACTGACAGACCAAGCTACCCCAGTAAAGGATCTGTCTTTTCCCCATGAAGTGTGAGCCTAACAACTATATGAAGAATAGCAAAGCTTAGCTTTTTCCATTAAAAACTTACAGTCTCCATTAATAAGGGGCCTTTTTAATAGTTTTCATCTAGTTCTCTTACTCCAGTGGCACAGAGACTGAAATGAGAGCGTCCTATTGCATTTCAAGAGATTGAGCAAGCACAACATCTGCCAAATCTCCTTGACAACCAGTATGTCCTTTTCAAGATAAGGATATTCTGTGAAATGGAAAACAGATTAATGCTGGATCCACTTGATCTTATCTTCAGAATATTCAGCCAGCTTCCCACATCACCAAATGTCTGATTATTTTTTTAATACTGACTAATTAAATAATGGATTTTGGAAAGAGTTAATTAGAGAAAAGAAAATAATTGTATTATCAGGGTTGCATTCCAAAAAGAGCCTTTAAAAGATTTAAACTTGGGCAGAATTCAGTATATGGTAAAAAATGAGCCAAAATTGCTCTAGCCTTTTATTTGTTCCATGGCACTAAAATCGTAAAGGTTGGAAAAGGCCTCCCAAGATCATCAAGTCCAACTGTTAACCCAGCACTGCTGTGTTCACCCTATCCTCAAGTGCCATATCCACGTGTTTTATGAACATTTTCAGGGAAGATCACTCTAGCACTTCCCTGGGCAGCCTGTTCCAATGCTTGGCAACCTTTTCAGTGAAGAAATTTTTACTAGTATCCAACTGAAACCTCCCCTGGTGCAACTTGAGGCCATTTCCTCTTATGCTATCACCCCACACCTTGCTACAATCTCTTTTCAGGTAGAGAGTAATAAGGTCTCCCCTGAACCTTCTTTTCTCCAGGCTCAACGCCCCATTTCCCTCAGCTTCTCCTCATAAGACCTGTTCTCACAATATTAAAGGTTAATGCAGTAAAACAGATAGACACACATGGAGAGAAACAAATACAGTTTGTGTTGTATTCTTGAAAATCTCTAGGCTCCTAAAGAAACAGAAAGAGGATTTTCAGGACATTAGAGATAATGGGAGTTAACCTTCTAATCTGCTTATGACTTAAAAATTCCACTACATTTCTCTTTAGGCACATACTACTCCTGAAAACATTGCCTGTCAAAAGAGTCACTTTCCTGAGGATGGATGTGACATGTCAAAAGTTTTGAGTTCTGTCACCATAGTCTTTCAGTTTTGATTGTCACTTGACATTCTAGTAATGGTAGGTGTTTTTTTTGTGAAGACCTAGAGATTTCTTTTTCCTCAACTTGAAAAATTATATCCTTGTTACCTGATGTTAGAGAAGCAAACACAGTCCATAATTCATCATGACTAGTCCATTGTGATATTTTTCTTAGTTGTAATTTAAGAAGAAAAACGTGCTGATAGGAGAGAATAATAATGAGTACCTTGGAATTCCCATAAGTCACAACACTGTACCCTGATTTGTTCTGTGAGTGTACAGCCTTGTTTTCGCCCAAAAGCCATCTCTCCTTTGCAAATTTCTTTCATCTTTAGGGTTAATGTGTGTCATTACTGTAAAATTCAGACCCCTAACCAATGAAACTATTTGAACTTTACATTTCCTTCTTTACAAAACTGACATTTCAGGACAATATTATAGCTGATATATGTATATTATTTGCTGTTCTATCTCTTTTTGGACAGGACTTTGAGACAAATTTTTTCTTTCATTGTTTCCAATGCTTTCTTGTTTACTTTTGTCATAGCTGAATGTTAAATACTTTGAATAAATATAGAGCAAATTTTTTTACTTCTCATAGGCTTATCAGCTAAAGTTGCCCTTTCAGTAACTTTGCTTACTGAAATGTGTGAGCTACTTCTGAACATGAGATTAGTAATTAAAAAATACCCAACAGTGTGTGTGCTATTTAGATATGTATCATATTAAATCAAATATAGTGGCTATGTGGCTACAGTATCTTTATTTTAATATTACATATATTATCCTTGCCTCTATTATCCTGCAGAAAACATGAATCAAGGGAGTTAAAGAAAATAATAGGTTTTGTTTCCTATTGTTCACCTTTAAAATAAGAGCTTATTACCAATGGTGTAGAGTTATCACTGTTTTTCTTATGTTTTGTTTCTAAGCTTAAGTTTTGAAACAATCTTCATTGGCTTAATATTTAAAAAAATCCCAGATGTTTTTTTTTGCCTTACTCTGCTTTATAGAAACTGAGTAATAGCAATAAAGGCCCTAAACCAAGACTAACATAGATCACAGGAAATCTTCATGCTGACATTTATTAGGGTTGGACCAGGTCCTAAGACAAGAGGATATGAAACTGAGTTCTTTCTAGGGATAAGAAGCAGCATCACTATGATGATGATTATCAGGATGAAATCATTCTTGCAATAATTGTCTTATTCTTTGTCACTAAATATGAATTCTGCTTGTTGTGAGTTTTTTTCCATTTCTGACTCTCTCATATTTAAAGCTTTTTTAGTTGCATACTGGTTTCTCTAATCTGTGTATATTGTTAAAAATAACTTTCTTCTCTCTTTAGGCAGGAATTTTCAGCATGAATGCATGTGAAGAGGGTTTTGCCACTGGTGGCAGGGATGGCTGTGTTCGCTTATGGGACTTAAATTTTAAACCAATTACTGTGATTGATCTCAGGGAAACAGACCAGGGATATAAAGGTAAGTGGAAGTTTATTACTTTCAATACACCAACAAGGTAGGGAATTTATCAGTGTTTTGAACAACAAAAGACTTGAAAAACCAAAAATGTTGTTTAGTGTATGTTACTGTAAACTATTTGCTAGAAATAGAATAGATCATGCCCACTAATATGAAGGTCACAAAGTTACTGTGTAAGATATGATCAAGATTTAACTTTTCATGCACGTTGTTTCTAGAGGACAGCATCTTTTAACAAGGAACAGTAATGCTTAAAGAGAACTTGGAAGAGACAATGAGATCTACAATGTAAAACAGTAGAGTCCAAAAATTGCATTGCTAGTTATTCAAATTTTTATTAAAACTATTTGGAAGTTATTTACAGTTTTGCAGTATTTAGAACACTGCTTACATAGAGCACTGCTTACATATGCCTATGACTTCAGTTACAATTTGTCATGCTAAATTTTTACATGGAGTGTTCCAGATATTGTTGCTGTAATGATTTAGGAAAAGAATACAAACGTATGCTGAAGCATTAATGTCATTTACAATATTGCTTTTGTTGGCATTTGGTCTTCTTTGCCCCCAGTCACTTTGTTATTTTCTAATGTCTTGCCAAGAATCTGAAAATGTGGTAGAATGTCTGATGGCAATTGGATACTCAGGGTCAATAATAACAAGTTAAATCTTTGTATGCTGTAATTGACTTGGCATTCCCACCAAGATTGTGAAGTATTGCAACAAGATGCAATACATTCCATTTTAAATATGCAGTAGAGAGGCTCTGTTTTAAATTTGAATTTACTCAGCTGCTGTTTCTCGGCTCTGCTGCATGTAAGTGGAAGCTGTGTTTCATTTACCATTTCCTTCTTTAAAACTTGGTCTCCACTCCAGATAGTCTCCTTTACTTTTGATGTAACAAAACTTTGCCATGAACTCTTTTCCCTTGTCAAATACCCATGACAGAGGTAATAGATTTTTTAAACACTTATCTTTAATAAAATCCCCTTCACTCTTTTTTTCCTTCTTGTGTACTTTTGGGGATTGCCTTTATGACTTGTCCTTTTACTTGTTTTCTTAACTGCATTTTTTTGCTGCTCCTATACCTTGACACTTGGCAATTTCTCTTGTAAACATAAGATCTGTATCCTTGTGAATGGCTAGCAGCAATTAGTTGACTCTAGACTTATTGTCCAAGTAGTCATATTGTATTTCAAAATGTCTCCCTCCAGCACTAGAAGTTCCAAATTACTAAAACAAGTGTCTTAATCATCCTTTATCAAAGATTTTGGTTGGTCATTTCTTTATTTTTTAATCAATGTAGAGAGATTAGCCATATAATGTCTAAATTATAGGCAATGAATGGCAAGGTGGTTATATTCACCAGAGCAATCAACAGATCAAATCTGTAAAGCAAAACAGATGCGGGGAGGGGGGAGGGGGCGGGCAGAGTAGAACAATATATATGCATTTTGAGGGGTGTTTGAGGGGTGTTAGCTCTAGTCTGGTTCAGCAGACTGAAAAACGCATTGCAGCTGGAATGCACTGAGTGCACTCCTGGAGTTCATTGTTCTGTTTCATGTGGACAGAGTCTTATTTGTGCATTTGAAGGCTATCTTGTAATGCAAAGCGTGTTAAGTAGCCACGATCAGGATCTTTGCTTTGAGAGCTAGCTTTGTCAGTATTAACACATCTGTGCAGATGCACCACACTGGCCTACTAACCCACCATTCACTGTTTGTGAGTCTTTCCGTTTCTTTCCACTGTAAATTTAGTAACATAAGGCTTTTCTTTTCCTTCTACATAATTAAAAATATTTTTCAAAAACACATCAATCTGGACCGTTGCAACATTCCTTTCTTTTATCTGATATATATAATTTTGTCTCATATATTAATCCAGAGTAGCTTTTCAAAGATATTCTTGAGCTGCTCTCCACAAAGTCAGTGTTTAGGCAAACTAAGTCAGGCATTGCTGCCATCTGGTTATGAACATTTCAAACTGGCAAAATTGAGTTACATTATCAGAATGTAATAAGTGCAGCCTGTTTTGAAAGGTGCATGTTACTAAAATCAGGCACCCAAGACTGGGTTCTCAGTGTAACTGTCTTAACTTCCATTTTATTATTCCTGGCATTATCTGCAAACAACAACTGTGTTACTTCCACTATAAGCCTAAAAGCTAATTCAGTTGTTAGAAATGCTTGTTAAATTCCATCATAAAGCCTTTTCAACTCTCTAAATATTGTTTCAATTTGACTTATTATTATTTTTTGTTTAGTTGGAAAAAATACTTTCATATACTATTAAGGTGTTACAAAGAATTGGGCTCTTTAACTTTCTTACATATAATTCTTGTTCCACTGATGTTTTTGTCACTTAAATAATTTGGGTTCACCTAGTTAGTGCTAAGGTCCATGGTTTGATCAGAAACTGTAATTTATATTCTCTGCTAACTTTGTTGAAACTTAGAGACGTTAAATGCATAATTTCAGCTGCAAATGTCAGTACTATATTTTTCCTTTATTGAAATAAGGCTCATATTTTATTTTAGAAATTTCTTAATACTAAGTTTGAAAAGTTTATGTTCTGAGTGCAAGTATGTGTTATATGGAATAGATAAAAGGAGTGAATGGAGGAATAAGAGAAGGTATATGGATATTTCTTGACATTTCCTTGCTTTTATGTTTTGTTATGTGCTACTTTACCTTTGTTTCTCAAATTCGGAGGATGTGTCTTTCAGCAACAATCTTTTCTACAGGTCTATCTGTAAGAAGTGTTTGCTGGAGAGGAGACCATATACTTGTCGGGACACAAGACAGTGAAATTTTTGAAATTGTGGTGCATGAGCGTAATAAGCCTTTCCTGATAATGCAGGGGCACTGTGAAGGAGAGCTGTGGGCTTTGGCTGTCCATCCTACAAAACCCCTGGCAATGACTGGAAGCGATGATCGATCAGTCAGGTTAAGTCTTGTTTGTTTGTTTAACCGCGTGCAGTTTTATAGGAACAAATGATTTTGTGGATAACCTAATTAAAATGTATGCATTTTGAAGGTATTAATGTGTGGCACTGAAGTGCTCCTACAGTTTGGGGATGCATGAAATGAGTACCAGTAATAAAATATAGTGGAGGTATATATTTCCCCAAAAAAACACGTACTAAATTTGAAAAAATTTCATTTAGACTAATATTGAGCACTCAGAGACAAGTATCCTGTAAGTGTTCCCTTTCCAGGAGCTACATTAAGCATTCATATGTTACAATGAAAAAATTGTAATAAAAACTTATATATTTTACTTTTTCACATGCTGCAAATTAACTTTTAGTTTGGGAATTTCATCAAACTTAATGCATGTTTTGTAAACAGAATATAAATGCTCGGAAAACCCACTAAATTAATCCCTTTTACAAGTTCTGGTTTTTTTTGGTCAAAAACACCTTTTCTTTCTTATAAATATCTTAAGTGTAACATGGTTAAGAGAATCAGTAGTTCAGTTATTAATATTGAAATAATACTCTAAAATTCCTGGTATGTTGTAAATGATAAATGTTGTAATTACTAGTTATAGGGAGTTATTAGTAATGCCTTGTTAGTAGAAAAGGTTATTTATATTGATCAAAGTCTTTATAATTGTTATTTAATATTCTTGGCTAAAATGATTAACAAAATGGTAGAATTTTCACAGGAGTGGTCTAAAAGTATATCTTGTCATATGTTATCATTTTTTATTTTTTAAAAAATCAAATAATGATAATCTACCTCTGCATTTTCTCATTAGATATTTTCTCATCTTTTAAAATATGAGACTGTTACTTTCTCTGTACAATATTTTGTCTAGGACAAAATCTTTTATCCTAGATTTTCCTTGTGGAAAATTATTTTAAAATAGGATACGGCCATGTCCAACATTCTTCAGAAGTTGTGGACTTCATCTTACCTATAACAAAGCTGCAAACCCCTTTTTACATTTGAAATAATTACTGTATTTTAGAATTTGGAGTTTAATAGATCATGCTCTGATTGCCCGGTGCAACATGGAGGAACCCATTCGCTGTGCCGCAGTCAGTACTGATGGAATCCATCTTGCTCTGGGTATGAAGGATGGCTCTTTCACTGTGCTCCGAGTCAGGTATGGTACAAAATCAAAAGCAGATACATTATTAACTCCTTCAAGCAGGTTATCTAATTGCTTTTATAGATTGTATGTATACTGACACTGTAGTGACCATACATGTGGTCACTTATATTTTTGTTTCATATTATGGAATGTGCTCAGATTTTCTTAAGTGTGCTACGTATGTTCAGGTTGTTCTGTAACAACCCGTTTGCAAAAAGTATATTGGTCTATTTGCAGAGAGTGGCAAGGTTCTAGGGAATGTTTTACTTTAGGTTTTAGCTTTATTAATTATTCTTAAATTACTAAGAAATAAATTTTCATTAATTCCTAAATTGTTTCCCTGTGTTGGAAGTCCACTGTCAGCACATCATACCTATAAAACCAGTGTTGACTTGTTGCTGAGATCCCACAGTTTTAAAGGGAAAATGAGATCTGTCTCATGTCAGTGAAGTTTTCTTCCCTGAGTGAATAAAGATCTGGTAACCTACCTGATGAGGTTTTCTTGTGGACCCAGTTTGAACAGTTCCTTCTTTTGTGCTCTCCCTCAGCCCAGTGCAGCACCTTCTTGTGTCACTGTTCCCTTCTCTTTTTTTTGACCATGAAGCCCTAACCAACTCTAAACCCAGCAATTTTGTGTTTGCACATGGGATAATTAAGTTCACTTCATAACTTCACAATCTTGTCCATTTTTTAAAACTGGGAACTTGACAGTGTGCTAAGGCTCTTCTATGCTTATGACATGCTTTCTTTCATACTACAGAGATATGACTGAGGTTGTTCATATCAAAGACAGGAAAGAAGCTATTCATGAACTCAAATATTCTCCAGATGGGAATTTCCTAGCTGTCGGTTCCAATGACAGCTCTGTGGATATATATGGTGTTGTTCAACGATACAAGAAGGTTGGGGAATGTATTGGATCTTTAAGCTTCATCACCCATATGGATTGGTCTTCAGACAGTAAATACTTACAGACCAATGATGGCAATGGAAAGAGACTTTTTTACAGAATGCCAAGTAAGATTCTGAGTTGTCTTTATGATATTTGCTACTTATTACAGAAATAATGTATAGTATTTTTGTAAAAACAACCAAATGTAAATCCTGGTTCAAAGCATGTTGTTATAGTGAAAGTTTTTTGTAAGTTTGTATAAATATTTGCTATATTTGAATAAGTACAGCATTTTTATGGCAAAGTTACTTAAATATTTCTATCCTTATGTGTTTACTGTCCTTTATAATGCATCTGTTCGTACCAGAGATGTTGGCTTATACTTTGTTTTATTTCTCAGGAATAAATCTTTGCTCTCACTTTTTTAGAAGGAGAAAAATGCAACATTCAAATTCAGTTTTGCAATATCTTAATAGCTTTGTACTTGTGGAGCTTGGTTATTACATGAATTACCACTTAATTGCACTGTGGGTTTTTTTTAAATGTGTGGAAAAATCAGTATATTGCAGCTCAGGAGAGTCATTCAGTTTTCCTGAACTATGTTTGCAGCAGAACTGAGGAATTTAACTTATAAGAGCTTTTACGCTGAGAAACTTTGTGATAGCCACATTATTGTAAGTGTTTTCAAGATAACACTCTTGAAAACTTGACTGAACGATCCCTTACTGTGGAAATAATTTCCATCAAGACAGTTCTCTCTGTAGACAACATATGCACATATTACAATATTTTAAAGCTTCAAGTTTAAGTAATCCTGATTGGAATATACCAAGGGCATTATTTATCACAAGGCTTGACTTCTTTCTTCTGTCTATTGTATACACTCTTTACATAATGATATTTTCCCCACTCATCATATTTTTTTGTAATTATGTATTATCATCACCACTTTTTACATTTTCCCTTAAATCTTGTACAATATTTATTCTTTGCACTGTACATTATTCACAGGTCCATGCAGCTTTTTGTGACTCTTTTTGCTGAAGCATCTCATTAATTTTGATTCTGTGTACTGAATGAAGATACATAAGAAAAGATAGTAAGAAATTAATTAGATAGTAACAAATACACACAGGAGAAGCAATCTGAAGTTATATAGGCAGCTTTCAGCCTGGAGATTTTTATCTGTTAGAATGTGGTATTTTGCAACTTTCTTTATGAAAAAAGTTTAGCAAAGTCAGTGGAACTAGAGGAATGCTCTAATATTTCAAAATAATATTCAGATTGTGTAACACTTGAAATTCCACTGTAAGTGAGTAAAGGAACTTGCACTTTCCTATTTATTAAATGTGCCTTTGGTCTGTCTCAGTTCATCAGCTCTTGTGTGAAACTTTGTGGGATTGGATCAATGTCATTGCTAATAGAGCTGGTGGTGAAACTGATGTAACAAGGATCCAAACAACATTGGTATTTTCAGTAATTTACAGTGGCCAAGTCTAAATGAGTTTTTCATTTTTTTTTCTCAAAGTAATTGAGGTTTCTAGAATCATTCAGAAACAGAATTTTTCTGAACTTTATATTAAAATTACTACCTGTATTTTTTGATAAACATTTTAAAAATAACACAGCCTCAAGAGATACCAAGAAATTGTAAAAGCTGTAAAGTACCAAAGGCATGATCTTCTCTTAAGTAGTCTTGAGAAGCCTTACTATTGATACTTTTGGTCATAATAAGGAATATTAGGTCAGGACAGTGTCAGAAGTCCATTTTTATTGTGTCTCACTTGGATTTGATTTCTAAAGAATTTTTTAAATGTTACAGTCTTTAAAATTGCATAAGTGAACATTTAAAAATTACCCTTTATTTTTTTTCTTAGGTGGAAAAGAAGTAACAAACAAGGAGGAATTAAAAGGCATTCAGTGGGCATCATGGACCTGTGTTTCTGGTGTAGAAGTTAATGGAATCTGGCCCAAATATTCAGATATAAATGATATAAATTCTGTGGATGCAAATTTTATTGGGCAAGTTATGGTTACAGCTGATGATTATGGAATAGTAAAGCTCTTTCGATACCCATGTCTAAGAAAAGGTAGTACCCTTAAGTTCAATTATAAAAGTATTTTTGAATTTTGGTTATTCAAGAAAAATAGAAGAAAATTAGAAGACTGTATTAGAAGGTTTTGAAATGTATTAGAAGGTTTTGAAAATTATATAAATGGCTAATATTTTTAATGGAAGTTTAGTTAGAGCTCAGAGGTAGAGAACAATAATTAGCTGGTGTATTGAGAACTGTAATATTAACAGTATTTTATTTGCATTTTGAATAGGATAGTCAGAAGCTTTATTTATCTTTTATTTTGTAAAATAGTTCTCTTTTTCTTTGTTAGAATTTTGTGAGGTGACTCAATATCTACTCTTTTATGAGATACATATCTTTATGTATTTCACCTTGTCATCAAGTTGTTTTCTTCCTTCTCTGGGTGTGTAATAGAGATTTGGGCTAGGAACTAGGAAAAAATAAGTTTACTAAATTATTGGAGATAATAAATAAGTGACTAGCGTATTGGTCCTGTAGTCAGGGTGTTCTACGGTATGTTATTTGAAATTTTAAAGGTTTTCCAGTAGCTTTTTCAAAATTTTCCAACAAGAAAGGACAAATCTTGTTAAGTTTTTCAAACTGAGGCCTAAGGCGAGAGATGTAATTTTCAAGTTTACTCTTCAGGACTGAGTGAACAGAGGAGATATGTGTATCTTTTTAGACAAGAAAGGCTTCATTGTTTCAGAGCTGTGTGAAAAACTCCATTCTAGACACCATTCATTGGATTACCTTGTGTACCAATAAAAACCTTTTCACTTTAAACATAATCTGGAAATGAAATATTTTTTAATATCACCTTTTACAAGAAGAGTGGAAAAAAATATGGGGGGATATCAGTCTTTAAAAACAAATAAACAGAAAACCAACCAAAAAACAACACCCAAAACATTTCTTTAAGTACATATTGCTTGAAGACATGTCTTAAGACCCATCCATGCAGTTGCAGCCAGAAATGAACATGAATGGTGTCTAGATTGGAATCCTTCAAGCAACTCTGAAACAATGAAGCCTTTCTTGTCTAAAAAGATATCTGTATAATAGAGTGCTGTTAGGAACTTCATTTTAGTAATTGATCCAATGATTGTGTTGTAATTATGTAGCAGTTGGTAAAAACATTAACTTGATGTAGCTATACTACTACTACTAGTTCTACTACTGCTAAAAATGGGAGCATATGAATTGCTAGAAGCGCTTAGCACTCAACTTGCACAGTGAGAACCGGTGCTACAAGCACATACATGGGGATGTTTTCACAGACCTAAATATACATGATTTAAATAACCGTATATTTTCAATGTAGAAATAATAATTGTCAAAATCTCAGTTTGTAAAAAAAAAAAAAAATTAGTACAATACAATTTTAAAAATATTTAAATCTCATGCAGAACCATCAAATCTCTTTTCTTCCTAAATTTTACTTTCTTAAAATATTTTATTTTGAAACCCAAATTTAAAAATTTATCTTAAAGACTGATTAAAATTTGTGAATACTGCAAAAAGTTGCTGCTATTAATTAAAGTATTAGTACTAATTAGAATATATTTATTAAACCACTACTTTTTATAAGGGTTCCTTAATGTGATTTCCTGAGGTGCTTCTGAAACATTTATTCCGCAAATATCGAAAAAGTTTTTTTAATTTTTGTTCTAGGAGCAAAATTTAAAAAGTATCTCGGTCATTCTGCTCACGTGACCAATGTCAGATGGTCCCATGATCACCAGTGGGTTGTTTCCATTGGGGGAGCTGATCACTCTGTCTTTCAGTGGAAGTTTGTACCTGACCGGAAGTTGAAGGATTCTCTTCATATAGCACCCCAAGGTAAGCAACTTATAAAAAAAAAAAAAAAACACCAGCAAAAGGGTGGAAGGAGGGGAGGCTAAAAGAGAAGTAAAAGTCTTCTGTGCAAGTATCAAAATAAATATTCAGAATTGTCAGTCTGCACAAAGTTGTTGTTCTTTAAACTTTGCAGCTGCCTGAAATACCTGATGAAGTTGCCTAATGCTTGCCAGTACCCAACATGTTCAGGCTAGCAAGAGTGTGAAAAACCTCTTCACTGCTGTGTTTCCTGTGCAAAGGAAAACTTTAAAGGTTCAGACCATAGATACAGATTTATGAATTCTATACATAGCATCCTTTACTAAATTGACAACAATTGGATACCTGGATGTCACTGAAAAAATAGACTTTTATACTCTTTTAATTCAAATTTTGAAGTATTTTGATGATGATTTAAGCATTATAGCTGATTATTTAATTTTAGCGTTTTTTAAAGCAGAATACAGATATTTAATGTTTGGGAAAAAATTAAGATCATGTTTTCACTAGTGACTAATACAACAATTATTCTCATGACTGAGTTTCCTAAAATAAACAATTAACTGAGTGCCTCCCCTGGAAATTCCTAAAGGAATTTAGAGAGAAGAGAAATAAGTATATAGAGTTACAATGAAATAGGCTGTTTCACCATTTAATTGCTAAGATCAGATGAATATGTATCAGGGTGGACCCAGCAAACAGGTAAATGAATACCAATTTTGGGCTGAACTTGTCAGTGACAAATGCAGAAAGAAACAATAGTTCTTTTTATCTCCTTGACAAAGCCTTCAAAAAGTCTTTAACTGCTTTTGTTCTTCATGGTATGAACTCTTTTTCAGCTAATTATTTCCCATGACCTAAATTTCTCTATTAACTGCTGCTTCTCAGGATAAAATTTCTACATGTTACTGGATTCCCTGTTCCTGGATATATAGCCTTCCTTCTGCCTATCTGACAGTATGTGTAACATACATCTGCTTTGTCACATGATTGATAATTGTCCTGTTAGTGGTTTTCCTAACTCTGTAATCTTCTGCCTTTATTGGTAGCAATATTGGTTTTCTCTAAATCACTGGTGAAAATGTTAGGTATTAGAGGTCCAAAGATAGCTCTTAATTGCATTATTCTATAAAGAGTCCTTACTAAGTGGTGATTATTTTGGGAATTAATTTTAAAACCTGTAAATTTCATTTATGTTCTAGACTGTCTATATGTCTGGTTTCTTAATCAAAAATTGCAGAACATTCAATCAAAGGTTGCAGAAAGTTCAAAATAGATTATCATTTGTCAACCATTACGTTCTTCTCAGTTTCTGGAATAAAACTCTCTGCTACAAGATATAATCTGGCTTTCCCTACATGTAAAAGTTTAAATTACTATCCTTTTTCTCAACAGTCACAAAAAATGTTGCCACTTTCTCCCCATATTTAATTTTCTTCCCCACTTATCTACCTAAAGAATTTCTACTCACATCAATCGCTCACTTAACCATAAGTTTCTCTTTGGAACCCCTCTCTTGGTACTTTTCTGCAAGTCTTGCTTCATTCTCTTCTTCTTTCCTTTTTTTTCTTAACATTAATGCTGATGAAATAATTTTAATGAAATCTAACTTACTCCTATATCCCCAAAAATTATCATACTTACAAGTTGTCTCATTTCTAATGTAGCAGCAGAATTGGTCCTGTCATCCTGTCAATTATTAGCAGTTTATGTTGTAGGTAATAAATGCATTGACTATCAAAGCAGAAGCATTAAGGTTTGTGCTTTTTGTTGCCTAATTTTCTATTTCTGTTTTCTTGGTGACAGAGAGTCTGGTTGACTCTAATAGTGATGAATCAGATTCAGATCAGTCTGATGTTCCAGAGCTGGACTCTGAAATTGAGCAAGAGACACAGATCACCTATCGTCGACAGGTAAAGGTTTTGGTTTCAATGGCAGTTGGAATATTTTCCAGGGTTTAAGTTAGTCTTTCATGAAGACTATTGAAATCTGAAAACTGGTAAGAATGAGAGCTGCATGGGAACTGACCAAAAGCTTTAGAATTGTTATTACCTGATGCATTCAAAAGATTAAGGATATTAAGATACATTAATTAATGAATAATTGATATTAAGATAATAATTAAGATTACTATTAATACAGAGGAAAATTACTATATGTATTCCTAGCATGCTCTACTGGAGTTTTGGTTGCAATTTAAAAACAAGTTATGCTATTACTGTACAATCACTGGCTACAGGTATTGGAGGGTTTTTTTCAGTGATGTCAGGATAACAGTTTTGTGGGTGATAGCTGTGGCTGAATTCTCAGAAACATGCTGATTTTTAAGTATGCTCTTTCTTAAAGGTTTACAAAGAAGATCTACCTCAACTTAAAGAGCAATGCAAAGAGAAAAGAAAAAGTGCAGCTTCTAAGAGACGTGAGCGAGCTCCAGGGAACAGTATAAGACTACATTTTGTTCATGGGTATGCAAACAAGGATTCTTTAAAATATACAAGTAGACTGTTTGTGTTTTGTAGATTAGTGTTCATAATTTAATAATATGATGAAAGAATTTCAGGTCAGTTGCTTTGTGATTTAGTATTTTTGTTTATTTCTGTAAAAATAAATTTACACTAAATAAATAAAAAGCTTTGATGCCAACTTACTAATTCTACACATAAATTCTGAAGTGAATTTGCACTGAAACTTTAGCTGATACTTACTATTTGAGTACAGGTGACTAAATAAAGTATTCAGTAGTCTCACCCACACTTTTCAGAATCTGGAAAGTAATAGCTCTCTTTGTTCTATTATTTTGGTAGTTACAATAGAAACTTGGTGTAGCTAAAGATGACTGGGTGCTGTACTAAGTGGTGTTTCTAGCAGTATTTTATTAAAAAAAAAATCCATAAACTGTACCTAGTCTGAGACAACTTACATATTCTTCTGTTGGTTTAGGAACTAAATTTAGTTTTAAGAGGTTCTGTAAGTTTGTTAAAATTCAATTTCGTTCTCTTTTTGGTGTTAATTTGAGTAGCAGAATGACTTTCAGATGCATCCTTGAAATCTTATGATTTTGTCTTTAGGGTTGGTAGTCTCTCATAACTCTGTAAGTGATGAATTTTTATCAGCACAAAGATGTGGTGTTTTAAAGCAAACTGGCATTAGATGTTTCTGTATTAGAATAATGATCAGAAATCTAAATTCCCTTGATGCAAAACAAAACCAAAGCCTTTATTCAATTAAGGCATTACAAATCAGGTAATACTGAGTTTTCCTTTCAAAAGATACCTTTTTGCAGGAATATATCTTTTTTCAGACAGAACTAAATGCATGGATAAATTACTGATACTGTCTGTCTTTATAATGGCACTTCAACAATTGTAGAATGGCTCCACATGGAATGCTTACTAAATCAATTGGCTAAGAATAGGTAATCATTCAACTCAGCAACTTGGTCTGTAGAAGATGTAATTTGACTAATAGCTTTGGAAATAATGACAGCTGGAAAGCTTGGTACAGAGTTACTTTGGGGTTTTTTGGTGGGTTTTTTGGTGTTTTTTCTTCTTTCTTTTTTTTTTTCCTGCCTTTGATGCTCCAGAATTCTCAGTTGAAGATTTTTATATCCATATAGAAAATGCATTAATGTGGGTAACTGCTGTATATAGTCTTTAAAATTTGGTCTAAGAATAAAACCAAATGATCCTGAAGAAGATGTAGCACAAGCAAGGGCCCTGGATCTTTGGTATTATTGTTATTTCCTTCACAACAGAAGTGAAGCTTGACCAGAATATCCAGGAATGACCAGAAGTAGAATGTCCTGTTGAGTTCTGCCTGGTTACCCAATGGGCATCAAGAAAACTAATGAAGAATCCATGCTGAACAACAGATTTTTCTCAATGTCCAGGCTGTTAACTTTAAAGTGACCCACATCCAAGTGAGTAATAGGTGTATTCTCTGATTCAGGAAGTCTGCTTTGCTTCATCTTTCTATAGCTGCAATGAAAATGTCTTGGATGTTCTTTGAAAGTGTAAGAAGTAGCGCTTTTTTGAAATAGGGTAATAGAAAGCTCTTTTTCCTTTCTTTTTTTTTTTTTTTTTTTTAGCTTTTTGGTTTTGTGTTTTGAATTTGTCAACTGCCTTGAAAGATGAACTTTTAAAAAGCTCTACATTTCCTGTAAGAAATCTTTTAAACCTCTGGTTCCTTCCTGCTTTGGAAGGGCATAAACCCAGTAATTCTGAGTATATGAGCCAGCCACTGATAAATATGGATGAGAAAAGAACTTCTGTTAAGAGGTTCATCTTTAAGTGCATCTTTCTATAAGAGATCTGATACAATCCTGATCAGAAACATATTATTAAATTGGTGTACTAGTTTGGCCTCTTTTTGACTATTCCTGTATTTTAATTTTGCCACATCTTTGGCATTGGTGGTGGTTCAGAAACATGAAAAGGACACTTGTTTTAAAATATTCAGAGGAATCTTTTTCTCAGATTCAATGCTTATTATGCTTTCTTTTTGCTGGCAAATATAATACTTTTGCCTTGTATTATTTCCAAGCTATCCTGTTGATTTCACAAGAATGATTTTTTCTTTAAAAATTTTTTTAAATATTCATCGAATCATAGAATGATTTTTCAATATTCAAAGATCTAGTTTGATTTTCAGCATATTCATGGAACTACCCTTATCTTAAGATGAAATTTGGTAATGGTTTCAAGATGACATGGAAATGCTTTTAAGTGAGAGTCTTGCATGGATTGCTACAAGTACCTATAAGCAGCATCTGAAGGGAATAGGCTATGAGTGGGTTTTGTTGCGAAAACACCATTGCCATGCAGAATAAGTTTTTTTAAAAATAAAAATCACCACCTTTTTACTAAAGACTCTGCTCTCAACCGTGTTCATTTTGACATTTGGTTCTTCTAGAGATTTTTAGTGGAGGGTTGGACTACATTTGGAAATGTCCCATATATACTTTGAAGACTAACATAAAACTTTTGAAAACTCTCTCAGACAGGCCACGGACATTTACTCTTTTCCCAGAGAGGACATTGCTTGTGAAGTTGTCCCTTAGCCGGCTTTAGCTCTGTAACTTGCAACTGTGGGTAGGATCCAGCTTCAGGTTACAGAATTCACAGCTGTGTGCCTAAAAGTAGATGGTTTTATGTGCATATCTAAACTTCCATCACCGTCACTGGAGATGCAGTCAGTAGTCAGTGGAGCTTAAAAGCGATTCGTAAATTACTTCAGCGGTTTGTTTTCTGTGTGTGAATACATTGTTTCTTTTCATGCTTTTTCTAAGATTAGCTAGTAGTCTTGGTTCTAAATTGGTTTAATAATATGGAGATGTATTTTGAAACTGTGTTAAAGGATCTCAGGGAATAATCTTCTACATTGAAATATGTTTCTTTAGATCTCTGCTCAACCTTAGCCCATCACTTTCCTTCTCGTCAAAAGTACCTGTGTAGTCAGGGAGTTAATAAACTGCCATGTGGGAAAGACCAAATGTGTTTATTTGGGTTACAAAGGGTCTTTGTTGGCCCTGCTTGATATTTTGGCAAAATATGTAGTATTTTAATTGTAAACAACTGATTGTACACATTTTTTAATAACTAGATGAAATTAAATAAAATCAAAACTTCTGATCACAGAAAGTTATAGATATGAGTAATAAGAACTATTTTCCTGCATCCTATGTACATTTTGGATATTTTGAGTAGTCCTGTGATACATGGCATTAATTTACTCAGTTTCACTAGGTTAAATTTAGGGTATATAGGCAATTGTTAGGGAAATTCTGAATTTCTGGGTTACATGTAGGAGGATCTACTTTTGCTGTCTTAATGCTTTTTACTTTTATAGGTGACTGCTAAGCTTGTAAGAAATTGCTCAATGTCCAGTATTTCTAAAGCAGTATTTCTCTCAGCATGCATATTTTCGTAGCTGTTTTTTTAAAAATATTCTCCTTTAGGGTGCATACTTGCCTTTTTTCTTTTTTATTACTCTGTACTTGCAAAAGAAATCCAGTATGTTTAACAGAGCACAGTGCAGAGTGAAGTACAGGAAAATTATGTCCAAACAACAATAGGTTCAGATATCTTCTTTGACACTGTGCCTGCTTTATAATCCCTGCCCCTCACTGAATACTGTCATGTCCTTAAAATGGTGATGTTACATACTGTGATAGGTTATTTTTCTTTCATAATGTTACTCTAGGCCATTGTATATTCTGTCCCTTTAAAAACTAGTGGCTAGACATCAAAATAGGGTGCAGGCAGGCAGCAATTTGTGTCGGGCAGAAATCAGCTTCAAAACATCTGCACTCGCTGCTGCTGGGGAATGTTGTTAGTGAAAGATGTGGGTGGAGGGAGACCAAAGAATGACTGAAAAGTCTGCACTTGTATTGTGAGTCTAACTTGTTGGTCACTTTGAGAAGAGCAGGGAGCAAACATACAGCTGAGCCTCAGATAGAAAGAGATTTTTCTAGAGATCTTGAAGGGACCATAACTCAGGAGACACTGCAAAGTTCCTGGACTAGAACAAAACCTGAAGTTAAGAACCTGTATATGAATACCAATCTAAACAATGAGTTGGAGAGAGACTTATTTAAAAGTTTTTATTTCTGTGCTATCACAGTTTTTGCTAGTTTAAGATGTTCACTTTTCTTATTTGTGGTCTAGTGAGACCCAGCATTGGATTTCACAGTGTAGTAAACAATACGAAGCTGGGAGGAGAGGCTGGTAGGCCCAGTGTCCATGTTGTCATCTGAAGGGACCTGGGCAGGCTAGAGAATGGGGAAGGGAGGAATTTCATGATCTTCAAGAAGTTCATGAGATGCAACATTCTACTTCTGGGGAGGAATGGACCTGGACGCTCTGCTGGTCTCTTTAAAAACTTTGTGGTGTGATTTTAGTAAGTTTTGTCCAGTCACATACAGTGGCACTGTGTGTAGTATAGGTGAGCCAACAGAAACCCAGTGTATTCAAATCTGCTCCAGATATGTGCTATGTTATTTTCCAGTAATGCATAGATCTAGCATTTGTGAACACGGATCCATATTTTTTGGAATAGTATTCATTAAACTGAGATTGGTCAGCTGCCTTAAAGATTCATTACTTCACTGGTGCATATGGTTGCACTATGCACATAAGAAAAAATATATATAATTTTATGAACTTTCTACCTGGATTGCATAATTTCTGCATCATTTAAAACTTTGAAGTGTCTCATATGTAGTAATTGTCTTAGTGCTATACCATTCATTTTGTGTATGACGCTTACTGGTATGTGTACAGATGTGTCTCTGTCTTATGTGATAATTTAAAAACATGCACTGATGCAAAAGGGGCCTGCTTTTGTTGAGAAGTATAACATAGACATTCTAGAATTCTGTTAATTTGCAGTTGCTGAGGGTGAATGTGTAGCCGTTTTGTTTGCCAAGAATGACTTGCTGATCATCTTCAGAGCTTTTTTTTTTTCAATTGGTTTAATTAGGAGATGGATACAAAAATACTTAGGTAGGGCTTTTGATCCCTAAATGAAGATAATTCATGGCCATTTTAAACACACTCAAGTGTCATTCCCTTCCTGTAAATTTAACCGTACACTTAAAAATGTAGCCAGATTTTGCCTGCATCTTTGTAAAACAATTAAAAAGTTGATTGAGTGAAGATCTGTAAGAAAAGAAGAAGGAATAGAAAAAGGTTAGCTGAGGAATTACTGGCATAGAAACAGGATGTGTCAGGAGTATATGAAGTATTGTCTACATCAGAAGAAAGGAAGGAATAAATTTAAATTATGCATTTTTAAATATTACCTCCATTGACTACCAAGGATAGCGTTAAAAACACTTATTTGTAACTTACTTGTTTTTTTAGGTTTCTTAGCCTCTTAAATTACTTAAAGCAGGAGCCTTTTTGGAAATGTAACTTTTGGTTTTTATGGGATACTGAATCTTAATCACACCGAGGAGAAAGTGCATATCCTGAGCTATAGTGCATACACACCTCAGCTGGGAGTTGGCCTATTGATGTCAGTTGCTGCATCAGTTCAGAAAGACTGCACTGGTTTTTCCTCAAAAAGGAAAAGAGGCAGGTTTTTCTTCAAAGAAAGAAATTGTTCTAAAAGAAAATGTATGCATTTGTTTCTTGTTATCAAGTTTCCAGAAACTTTCAGTTGTCCACATTCTTGTGGAATGTTTTGCTGCCTGATTTTTGAGCAGTGAGATATAGCTGAAACTAATACTTTGGAAATTTTCTATTTCATTTAGCTATATGTTGCATGCCCAACTTCTCCATGTGGTCTGAAAAAATTACTAGCTATTACTTTCTCTTCTAAACTAGCTGTGGAGAGTAACTATTAAATGCCTTTCTTAAGCTAATGCTACTAGTACTGATGTCTGAATGGGAAATTAAATTGTTAAATTGGTACTCCTTTTGGAAAATATGTTATAATCTTACCAGAACAGTCATCGGTAAGTAATCTGAATTTTACATGTGCAAAATGCCTCTTGCATAGCTTTACCAGTTTTATTATGCGTGTTTATGACCTTGATGAGCAAACTTTTTTCTCTGATTAGTTACAGAGGTTACGACTGTCGAAGCAATTTATTTTACACTCAGACGGGTGAAATCGTATACCACGTGGCAGCGGTGGGAGTGGTGTACAACCGGCAGCAGAACACACAGCACTTCTATCTGGGTCACGATGATGACATTCTTTGCCTTGCTATTCATCCCTTAAAGGACTATGTGGCAACAGGCCAGGTAGGATGCATGTTTATCTGCTATAACAATCTGAAGTTTTTACTACTGAATTTAGAAAGCCCTGTCTTGGAGGGAGAATGTCTAGTCTATACTTATTCAGGTAAAGAACTGTTTTTCTGTTGCAGAAGGAATCATGGTAAAAATTTGACACGATAAGTGTTTTTTACAGTTCTTTATATTCTGATAAGAGTTTTATTTCCTCGTTTTTTTAAACCTCTTTTAAATTCAGAATAGATTAATATTTTTTTTTAATTCATCATTATGTTACCATTTCATGATAAGGTGGAAGAAATGTGCAATTCAGAAATACTTTTTTACTATCTTATTTTCTATTATTACATTCATGTATTATTACATAGTATGAAGTTAGTGGTTGTTATTACAGTCTGACATTTCATTTTCACGTTATAGGTTATCACCTATAGACAAACTATAGTGTTTGTGCATACAACACAGCTATGTATGTTGCTAAAGTTCATTTTATAGTACTAATAATAGCTCATTTTATCTTTTGCCAGACAGTAATTTTAGGTAAATTCTTTTCACTCTTGTTTTCTGACAAGTGTTCCCATAAATATTTATACACTGGGAATTTGAAGGTTTAATCTCATGTTTTAAGGGGGTTTATTTATTGTTATCACTTTTGTCATTGTTGTTGTTATTATTATTATAAAGTAAATTGGGAAACATGAACTGAGTTTTTTTAATAGAAATAAACTTTTGCTTATGATACCCTTGATTTCTGTAAAAATGTTTGAGATTAACATAACTCTGTAGGTCAATTAAGAAATTAAAGCCCTAAATATAAGAATTGATTTTATCTAATTTTGGAGTAGTAAAGGCTATGAATAAAAATGTCTCTGGATTTACAATATTTTAAAATACTTTATGCTATTAACAGAACAATACACTCCATTATATACTGTTTTATTTATAGATATTATATACTGTTGTATATTATGTTACCTGAAGAATTTAGGTAATGCAGTAATCAAATTCTCCATGCCACACTGGTTCAGATTTTCCTGGTAGTGGATATTCTGAAAAGCTTTGTAAATATCACATACAAAGTCTGTGACAAAACTAGAAATAGATCCTGGTTTTGTTGAGCCCTGCCCCTGGTCTTAAACACAAGAGACTGTTGCTCTGGTTTTACAACGTTTTTTTTGGTGCACTGAGGTGCAAAATCTTTGGAATAGTAATTATTCATGTAAATATTGACTTATAATGCTTTTGTACATAGTTAATAAGAATAATCTATATTCGATTTCTTACCAAGTTACCTATATTAGTGCCATTTTAGTGGCACCATTAGAATCTGATCTGTAGACACCTGTAATTACACCAGTAAGCAACAGAAGTCACCTTGATTTCTCAAACGTGGAGTAGCTTATATACTAGCAACAAAAATAACCTTTTATTTTTAGGCAGGGAATGATTGATGAAGAATTGATGGAATAAATATGCCACAGTGCAATCAAGGAAGGGCTTTTTTTTTCTTTTAACAAGAAGGCTTTAGTTAATTGTGATTAGTGTTCCTAAGACAGCTGGGACATGGTATTTGTGAAGCAGGAAAAGGAACAATGTACTGCTAGCCAGACAACAGGAATACTAGGAAAACTTTATCACTACATTTTTTCAAAAACTTTTTGAAGTATTTTTCATTATTATACTTTTTATCATCTGTGTGAAGTAACTGAGAAATGAAACAAAAAAAAGGTTGTGAATTTGTATACTTTCAGGTTGGTCGAGATCCCTCAATACACATTTGGGATACAGAAACAATAAAACCACTCTCAGTATTAAAGGGCTATCACCAGTACGGTGTTTGTGCCGTTGATTTTTCAGGTAATAAGTATTTATTTATTTATTTACACTTTTCCTTTTCTGTGTGAAAATACAAGCTAATCAATTCTACTGAGCAATTTTGGATTCCTTTACACTGTAGACTATGTGTTAAAAATATTCTGTGGTGTTAAATGTCAAATGAGAGAGCCTGTGTTAAAGTGGTCATTCATCAAAAAAACTCCTTTGAAGTCTTGCACGTAGGAAATACAAGAACAGATTTTGTGCTGTTTAACAGCTGAGCAGAGCACTTTGGAATTTCTTTTGGTTGTATGAGGCAAGTGCACAGATCTTGAATGTTGTGTCTGCTTTACAACTGTGTAACCAAATTTTTGAGCACATTGATCAGGTGTGCAATTCTTTTCTTTTTTTTTTTTTTTTAATGAAATCCTGAAAGCCATTTGGGTAGCACACTGATGCATTCAGAAAGTCCACTTATGGATTCTTCTGGTCAGAAACCTAGTTTCTCTCTCCACCTTATCCTAACATAAGAGACTATCAGTTAAATCATTTGAGATTTTTACCCCCCATACATTGAATTCCTGTACCGATATTAAATTTCGTCTTGTCCACTGGCTTCTATTCATTTTTTAATAGTTTGGATTTACTGGATAGGATCTCTAGACTCACAGTGAAGGTGTGTGATCACAAAGATGTGTACTTTGTGGTCTTTGATGCTTTTTACTTTTGATTCTCCATTTTTCAAGATGTGAATCTTGTTTCCCAAATTTTTGCATGGATGGTTAGCAATTTTGAAGATGGATACAGGTCAGAAAGTCATTGCTCATAAGTGAACAGAACTAGCTTGTTTATTGGAGGTTAATGTGGAACATGTGTCAGAGCTTCTCCAAGACTTCAAGTTTAAGGGCATTTCATAAATTTCATGATATTGCTTGAGTGCTTTCCTGTTTCGTAAACAGATGACAAGACATGACTATAAATACATCATATGATTATTTACCCATTTGTACATTCTTCTTATAATATTTGTGAAGCTATAATATTTTTAACATAGTTTCTTATGATTGCAACATAGTTATCTATCTACTCTCTTAATAATAAATTTATTTTTCTAGCTGATGGGAAACGATTGGCTTCTGTTGGAATAGATGACAATCACACTATTGTACTCTGGGACTGGAAGAAAGGAGAAAAGCTTTCAGCAGTAAGGTAGGAATTTAACTATGTTTTAAAATTTGTACCTAGATTTACTTTCAAGTGACAGTAAGCAAAATATATTCATTAAAGAATAAAAGTTCTCTAATAAATTAGCAGTTTCTGTCACTGGAGTGATACAGACAATAATATTTATCAAAACCTTAAAAGTTTCTTTGGAAGAAATAAATGAAACTGATAGTCAACAGGAATTACTAGGGTGACAACTCCACTAGTGAAGAAAGAAGACATATAGAAGACAAAATTTATTTGTGCTTATTTAATTTGATGTATTCTGAAATAATTTTTTTAAAGCTCACTATAAGTACTTCTGTTTGCCTTCACAAAGATGGTGATGTATGTTCTGTTCAGATCTTTTTCATCAGAGGTCATGTCTTCCTTAGGATAGTAATCTGAAGTTGTTTTGCAGAGTTCTTTTTTCTTCAGGTTTCTTTCCTTTTCTGAGCAGACTGATCTAACTTTGAAGTCAGGTCTGCTTGGAGCAGGAAATTGGACTAAATAACTTCCAAAGGTTAAATATTTTGGAAGTTTCTTTGTGTCTGCGAAGCTTATTTAATATCTGTTTATTAAATGGAGTTTTAATCTACAAGATAGAATCTTATTTCTAATTTTAAGTAGTATTTTTGAAACCTTCAACTTTGGTTTTTTTTAAGGATTTATTACTTTAAATGGAGCAGTAATGTGAGAGGTTTTTTTCCCCATTCTGTCTGGATTCAGTTCATATAATCTAAACGTTGTTCTACGTAGATTTAAAAGAGATTTATTACTCTCTGCAGATACAATTTAAAAAGTGTCAACTTCCTTTTTATCCATTAAGGTCATTATTACTCTTCAATGACATTAACTATCATTTTATTTTTAAACGTGCGTGGAATTTTTTACCCACTAAGGAATGAAAACCCTGAATACATGATGTACATAAAGAGGAGTACTCTCTTCCCAGTTATTTTTCAGAAGCCCAGTTAGGTGACTTCTTTGAAGACTTATTTGTCAACCTTTCACCTGATATTTTTGTTTTCAGATTTTGGGTTTGGTTTTGTTGGGTTTTTTTTTTGGTTTTTTTATGGTTTTTTTGTTCGTTTTGTGCGTTTTTTTGTTTTTAATTTCTCCTACCCACACAAAGGAGTTAATTGGAATTTTTGAGAGTGGCATCTCTACTTTGAAGATGACTGATTTTGGAAAGAAACTGTTTCCTGTTTTCTGCACTAGTTCATTCTGTGGTCTGAAACAGCAGAAAATATAAAATTTTTGCTGCTTTTGAATGAGGAGTAAAAGTTAGGGATTGGAGGTTCTTCTGCATTTTAAAGAAAGAAAAAAAACTACTAGTAAACATTTCTTTCCATAAATATCTAACATAGTTGAAAGTTGTTTTTCAAACTACAGGATTGAAGCAAGACGTTAGTTTTATAGAAGCATAGTAAGAAATCTAAACCAAAAAGTTTTAATGTTTTAGAAACAACTGAAATTTCTATTTAAGAAATATAATAGCATCATATGTTTAATTCTCACAAAAATGTAAAACAATCAATTAAAAGGTGTTTTTAAAACAAGAGACTTTGAAATAAGGTTTACAACTTTACTCCTTCAAGTTTCATTATGAGCTGTCAGAGATCTAAATGCCATATACCTAAACTTAATGCAAATATATTTTCTTTTGCAAAGAAAATGTGTCCTATTGCATCTCTGAAGTAACATAATTGCTCACCTGCTTTGGAGACTGAAGGGTAATGAAAATAGAATGGGACTCAGTATGCTGGTTCTTTAGCTTTCTTCCTTCTCATAGTAAACTATTGTTAATGATTTGAAAGTAAATGTTAGCAATAAAGAGCAGGTATACATTAAGAAAAAACCCTCACAAATCAAAGCCTATTTAAATATATTAATAGTTATATTTTTATTTAAATTATTTTATTTTGTATTTCAGGGGAAGCAAAGATAAGATTTTTGTGGTTAAGATTAATCCTTACATGCCTGATAAACTGATTACAGTTGGAATTAAACACATGAAATTCTGGCGTAGAGCAGGTAAGGACACTTTTCAGAATTACAGCATTTTCTGTTATTTAAAGTATAACTACTACATCACTTTACTGCATGTTTCATACATTAAAGGCAAGTGTTTTCTCTCTATATGTCAGTTAGCTTTGCCCTAGCAATAATAATGTTAATTGGCATTATAGCAGTCGTGGGAATTCTTTTTAAGATCAATTTCCTGTGGAGCTAGAGCTATATAAGTGGATAAGACCTTGGATTTTCTATTGTCTGATTTTATATCTAATAATAATATAACATATCTGAAAAGGTTTCAGAACTGCTCTATAATCATAGAACAGATTTTGGTAGAAAGACCTTTACAGCACATACACTATGAAGAGGCACAATATATATAAATTTAAGGTTATAAAAAATTCACATTAAAAATTCAGACAAAATACTTGAAGACGATACATCTGCCAGTTGAGCTGTTTGTCTAGACACCTCTGTTGAATTTGACAATTAAAAACCAAGGTAAAGCAGCTGGCTATTTCTGCTTGAGCAGTTTTGAACAGTGAAAAATCCATTCCCTGATATTTGTGTGAACTTCACTGTTTCAAACCTCAAATTTTATCTAAAGACATATGTGCTACAGAAGACTAGCTTATCTGCTGAGCATGTTCTAATTATTCATGCAGAATTTATGCACATCAACTGACATGAGTCCTTACAAAGATTAATTGTGGAGAGAAAAGTCTGTGATGAAAAAATTACACTGGTTTTCCCAGTTCTGGCTCCAACAAAAATTAATCAAGATTGCCTGAGAGCAAGCTGTTGATGTCTATATAAATTATTAATTTTGACAATTGAGCTTGCTATCTATAGAAAGAACAAAGTGTCTCAGAATATTTACTGAATGAGTTACTATAAATTCTTTAGAAACAAATCTTAACTATGCTGAAAGCTTGGAGATGGTGATTTTGAATAAAGAAAGGAAATTGTTTAAAATGGTAGTTTTCTCTCTGGCATTGCTCAGTCAGCAGAAATCAAATTTCCCTGATGCTGCAGCCCATCTGTGCAAAACTCCAGTGGAACACTGACGAGGCAGTCACTGTGAAATGCACTTCACAGTGCCAATGTGAGGAGAAGAGTATTGGTGCACCTTAACAAATGCCAGGTTTCTGGAATCTGCAGTAGAGCAGGTGCACTTGATGTGAGAAGTGACACTGAAGTATATATATTTTATATATATATATATTTATATATGTAAAATTGTCGTCAGTGCCAAGTGAAGGCAGAGAGGTTCCGAAACTTTGCCTCTCAATATGAAGTGTCAGATCCTGAGGGGCTTCTGTGTTACACCACATGAAATTTCTGTCATAATTGTGACGATATAAATCTGACTTTCTAGCCAGAAATTACTATGTGTTATATTAGTCAAATTATTTTAGATATGAAAGAATTATAAAATTTATATATCTGTAACATTTCTATTATCCAGAGAGCAATATAAGTAAACCTCTAAAATAAAATTAGAAATCCTCTCACTGAAAACATATAATGAAAATGATGATATGTTACGGTTTAAATGTTTTTCTTTCCAGTTAATTTATTCCTAATTTCTATGAACTGTGTATGGGAGATGTTAGGTTTCTTTTTCAGATGCAAGTTTACAAATGCACTGTGTCTTCATAGGTCTATGTGGGTATATGTGTGTATACACTCAAATTTAGATTCAAGTAGTAAGTTAAAAGTAAGTGGGTTTTTTTGTGAAAGTTTCCAAGTAGTATAAAAATTTAGTTTTGTGAGAACTCTTCTCAGGCTCAATTTTTTGTGGAGCATGTGTGGACCAGAAGAAAAGGACCCATTGCTCTGGGCAAGGTTGTATAGTTTCTGGAAAATAATTCTAAGCAAATATCTGATGACTTGTTTTTGGTCTGAACCAGGTGGAGGACTAATTGGGAGAAAGGGCTGCATAGGTGCACTGGGAAGAACTGATACAATGATGTGTGCAGTATATGGCTGGACTGAAGAGATGGCGTTCTCTGGAACTTCCACGGGGGATGTGTGTATTTGGAGAGATGTGTTTCTCCTAAAAACTGTGAAAGCACATGATGGTCCTGTGTTCAGCATGCACGCACTGGAAAAAGTAAATAAACTGCTCGTTGGTTTTTTGTGTCTGGACAAAAAAAATTCTTTTTCCCAAACCCAGGAATCCACGTCCTTATTTCCATTACAGAAAAGCCTTGTGGGGTCCAGATTCAAAATAGAGTCTTATGCATGTTTCTTACTCCTGTTACATAGAAACTGTTTCTCAAATCCTTGTGGTCCAGTGACATCTTGTTCAGTAATTTTGATAAACCCTTAATAAAGAAATAACAGTAACTGATTTAAGTGTCCATAACTTTAATGGAATAGGTGAGCTTGTGAGAAAGGAAGAAGATCACACTTTCTACTATTTTGTCTATAATTACTATCTACTCACAGAAGCATTCAATCTGTAAATCATTAAGTACTTCTACTGATTCTCAGCTTCTTTTAGCTCAACAGAGCCTTTAAGCATGTGCTTAAATGTGAATGAGTGTTCCAGTTAGATTACTTGTATGTTCGAACTTATGTATATGTTTGTGTTTTCTTAGGTTAGACCAAGGCACTCCACCTCCCAATATTTGAATTTCAGTATAGTAGTGTTGAACAATGCATGTGTTATTCATACTGCAAGAACTAAACGCTCTTAAGGGAAGTGTTAATGATTTCAGTATTAAGTATACCTGTTGCTTCACTAAATACCTGCAAATAATTTTTAAAGACAGAATGGCTCAAATATACATATATTTGAATCATTTAAGCACTAATCAAATTTCTGTGAGTAGTACTAAGTTTGATTTGGAGTAATGAGGTGAAATACCAAAAGGATATGGAGGCTAAATATCAGGAAAAACACTTTATAGTATGCTGATTAAATTATTTTTCTAGAATGGTAGAAGCACACAACCTCTGTACGTTGACTGTACAGAACTGTGCTGCTTTCATCAGGAGGAGAAATCAATAATTCTCTTGCTCCTGTTCTTTTCATCTCTAACATCTGTAGCCCTGTGCATTGCAGTGTTGTATATAGTCCATTTTCAGTATTTGCAGAAATCACTGAAAAATTAAGGAAAGATAGTAATTGATACTAACTTGTAATTATTTCTTTTTTTCCCCTCCCAGGGATTTGTCACTGGAGGAAAGGATGGGGTAGTAGCTCTCTGGGATGATACTTTTGAACGTTGTCTCAAAACCTATGCCATCAAAAGGGCTGCTTTGGCCCCTGGGTCTAAAGGTAACACACTTTTATTCTATTTAAAGTACTTTCTTTAGAAGACTTTGTGGAATTGCTTTCCTCAGCAGGAAGAAATCCACATTTGACATAGTGAATACTAAAATGTTTTTTTGATCTTTGCTGATTCTAAATATGTTGTTTTTCTCTTGGGATGGGAATCGTATGTTGTAGCGTCTGTTTGCACATTTGATGGGTGCAGATCATAATATTTACCTTATTATCAACCTAAATTAATTAAGCTTTGAGTTTCTCATCACCCAGGGGATTTTTTTTAATTAAAGTTGCAGCCAAAAAAGCCTATTATATTTCTTGTGTTTCTGATCACGAAGTCTCTTATCTGATCTTTTTTGTTTTGAAGAAGGGAAGAAATTTAGAATTGTGGTTTTTTAAGGTATTGGTACTTAATTTTCTGTAAATGTAAATGTCTTTTGAAATTTTCATTTCCATTTTTCCTATTTCTACCGTTCATTCTTGATCTTACAGTTTCCCCTATTTGTCATTTGAGATAGCCATTTCTCTTCCATTTTGCTCATTAAAAGTTACGTTTGATGAGTTCTAATGTATATGACGTGATTTTCAAACATCATGAATACGAATACTTATTAATGAAAATATTGTACTCCAGGATATCTTATTCTCATAACTGTTTTATAAAAAGATAGACTTGAAGTTACTGTAAATCTCAGCACTTTAGTAGTGTAGTTGACACATGCACATTTTTTCACTAAGATTGCCAGTCAGGATGATTAAACTTCTTGATGTATCACTCAGTACTCCCAAAGGAATCCAAACATGTAAGCTGTTCCATGCAGGAATATGTTTTTACTGTTCACTGCTGAGTATCTTTTTCTACAGTGAGAATGGAATGTGCAAATGTGTGAAAAATCCTCTTTAAGGCATACTTGAGAGTCTCCTGTCTTCCAACACTTTTATGTTCTAGGTCTCCTCTTAGAAGATAATCCTTCTATACGTGCCATATCATTAGGACATGGTCATATTTTAGTGGGCACAAAGAATGGTGAAATACTGGAGGTGGATAAAAGTGGACCAATAACTCTGCTGGTTCAGGTATATGTTAAATATCAGTCAAATATTTCATACCATAAACGTAATTTTATTTTTCAAATAAAAACTTATGAAATAACAAACACTTTAATTACTAATGAAGTTAATGAGTTACCATCAATTCTAGTTAGGCTAGACCATTATGACTCTTCAATGAACAAAGTAGAAATAGGATTTCATTTACTATTTTGTTCAATGAGTTCATCTTTTCAAACAGATGGAGATCAAATACCTGTTTAAAAAAAAAAAAGTATGTGAAACAGTGGATCTTCCACTGAATTCTTTATTAACTTTTTCTGAGTCCTAATTACTGCTATTATTTTTACAGGTTGTCTCCTTGAGGCTGTTACTAGATTTTATTTGTAATCATGTAAAAAACACGTGTCTTCTTTGCCATACCAAACAGCTGCATTTCTTAAGCCTGTCTACAAAACAGGTTTTTACATTGTATCAATCTATGATTTTCTTCCAAAGTTAAAGAAACTCTGCATTATCTCCATTCTGAGTGGTCAGTGCAATAGATAAAGAACTAGCTTTGTTTAAAGAAAATATTAGAACCTAAGGTAAAGGAAAAAATCTAATTCATAGAATAGTCTGGGTTGGAAGGGACCTTTAAAGGTCATCTTGTCCGAACCCCCTGCAGTAAGCAAGGACATCTTTAAATAGTTCAGATTGTTAGGAGCTCCATCCAATCTGACCTTGGATGTTTCCAGGACTGGAGCATTTGTCACCTCTCTAGACAATCTCTTCTGGTGTTTAACCACCCTAATCATAAAAAATTTCTTCCTTATATCTAGCCTGAATCTGCTTCTTAGTTTAAAACCATTACCCCTTTTCCTGTTGCTACAGGCCCTACTAAAAAGTGACCCCATCTTCCTCATAAGCCCCCTTTAAGTACTGAGAGAGTTCAGTAAGATTTTCCCAGAACCCTCTCTTCTCCAGGCTGAACAACCTCTACTCTCTCGGCCTTTCTTCATAGGAGAGGTGCTCCAACCCTCTGACCATTTCTGTGGCCCTCCTCTGGACTCAGACCAACAGGTCCCTGTCTTGTGCTGAAGACTCCAGAACCAGACGCAGTACTGGAGTCTCACCAGAATGGAGTAGAGAGGCAGAATCACCTCCCTGACCTGCTGATCACATTTCTTTTAATGCAGCCCAGGTCACAGCTGGCTTTCTGGGCTGGGAGTCCTCATTGCTGACTCCTGTCCAGCTTCTTGTCCACCAAATCCCTAAGTCCTTCTCCTCAGGGCTGCTCTCAGTCCATTCTCTGTATTTGTGCTGGGGATTACCCTAAGCCACGTGCAGGACCTTGCACTTGGCCTTACTGAGCTTCATTGCATGGGTCCACCTGTCACACCTGGTCAAGGTCCCTCTGGACTGCATCTCTTCTCCTCCAGCACGTTGATCACATCACATCTCACCTCACAGCTTGGTGTTATCAGCAACTAGCTGAGGATGCACTCAGTACTACTGTCCATGTCATTGACATAGGTGTGTGTGACAATTATTTCTCAGGAACAGTTTTCTGTAGTACTAATTCCTATAATTTGCACAGTAACTGCAAGAAGCAAAGTGAATTTTTTCGGATGTTCTGTATTTCTATTAAGATATTCATTATCCTCTAAAGATACGCAAGTTCTCTTTGTCTCTTTTTTAAAACTTCCTTAAATGTATTAGTTCATATTTCAGTTTAAAATAAAAATTAATCTAATTAATTGTGTTTTTTCAGGGTCACATGGAGGGGGAAGTTTGGGGTCTAGCTACTCATCCTCATTTACCTATTTGTGCCACTGTAAGTGATGACAAAACCTTAAGAATATGGGATTTATCTCCTAGCCATTGTATGTTAGCTGTTCGCAAATTGAAAAAGGGTAAGATGCTTAGTATGAAAAAATATTTAACTGATTCAGTTGACATTTACAAACATTATGAATCTTTCAAAAGCAGGACTGAATAAACTCCTTTCTTTGCTGAAATTATTTTATTTTATTAATGCTATGTTCAGGAGTTATATGAAGCTAATGAATCTGTACAGAAAAAATTCTGTGTAGTACTGTTCTGGAGATTATTTGCAATTGTAACATAATTGAGCCAATTATATAAATGCTACATTACTTAAAGTATTGCAAAGTGGAGGACTTTGAATTAGAAATTTTTTTAAGAAATCTTTGATGTAATATTGAAATTCTCTTCTTTGTGAATGTTAGAAAAGTCATGAATGTCAAGTAAAGAGAAAAATCATAAACTGTTTATTCATTGTTTACTGTATAACTAAATTCTATTTTGACAGACGGCAAATCTGTTGTAAATGACATTATAAAAGGTGACATTTTTTAGGATTAGACCAGACTGGCCTTAACAATCTTGTAATGACATATATGATTTGCTAGCCACAGGAATACAATAGGCTTTATCTGTTTGGCATGAGCAATGCAGTTTGATTCTAACATAACAGGAAACTTAGTTGAGAATTATTTAGATTGATAAAGTAAATGTAAGAAGAGACATGAGCTAGCACAAGCAGAGATTAAACAAGAATTTTTTATTGGGCAAACTTTGCGTAAGTCTTGAAGCTCATATTTCTTAATATTTTTAAGAGTACTTTTGGCAAAAAAAGAATAAGTCTGTGATGACTTTATTTGCTGATGAGACACATTTTGAGGTGCTTTGGCAATATTAAAAGGTTCCTGTGTACTGTACAGAAAGAGATGGATAGTTCTGCAGACTACAGAAATGAAATAAAATTGAATTGACTTCAGAATTGAAATAATATTTGATAATTAAAAAAGGCAAGATCAATTCAAGAAAAAATTCTGCATAGCTTGGGAATAACTAAGGAGCAGAAAGCTCAGGATGTTGTAGCTAGTTGCAGGATGGCAATTATACGTCCCAAGACATGCTGGAATATTCATGTAATTTACAAGACACAAATCAGGATATTTTTGGTGCACGTTTCTCATCTGTGTTCAGCTCAATGGAATTAAATTAAAAGTTGAGGATGGAAAAGAGCTACAGGATAATGAATGGGAAGCTTTGTGGTGAAGCCATCTAAATGAAGTACAGCTAGCTACAAGTTAATCAGAGAAACAAATAGTAAGGGAAAGTATTAATGATAATGGAAAATTCTGGCATGAAAACAAGTCTGCATAAGCTGACCATATATAAATTTAGGTTGGAAATTAAACTGCTTTTCAAATTACACTTGACATGTTTATTGGAAGGATTTTATGACCTAGTGACTAAGCATTTCTGATAGTAAAGGAGTGTATTCTGGGAGTCCAAAAGATCTTTTCCAGCTATGCTCTCCTTACCAAAGCAAATGGTAACAACCAACCAGTGCCAGATACTGAGAAAGAGAGCAAACTAAAAATACACAGACAGTACTGTTTAATCTGTATTGCTAATGTAGAACATATATCAATTAATATGCAAATAAATGTAATTTAATATTCTGGGCATGTATACCTGTTGATTTGCCAATAGCTTCTGTGTGCTACTGCAGTTTGGAAATCTTGGCAGCATCAGAAAAACATCCTTGGGAGTTTTTACTATAATAATACTTTTCCTTTACTAATGGAAAAATAGATCTAAAAGAGGGATAATGCACTGTAAATTGAACCTAAATGGCATTTCTGTATCCCTCATAGGAGGCAGATGTTGCTGCTTTTCTCCTGATGGAAAAGCATTAGCTGTTGGTCTCAACGATGGAAGTTTTTTGATAGTTAATGCAGATACCCTGGAGGATCTAGTCTCTTTCCAGCACAGAAAAGATGTTATTTCAGAGATACGATTTTCTCCTGGTAAGTGCAATTTTTTTTAATGAAGATTTTTATATCAAGGTTGTTAAAGCAAGCTTTATCACGTTTAAAGGTAATAGAGACTTGTAGTACTCTTCTACATGTAATAAATAGGTCAGCAAAGCTAATACTGTTATTTTGAAAAACATTAGTGGTGAAGTCCCGTGTTGCTCATTTAAGGATGAGATTATTGGAGTAAGTTTGCTCATGAATGCAACAGTCAGTTTGAATCATGAACATCCAGCAGCCTCCCTAGGTCCCAAGAGTTCCACTTTATGAGCTGCATCGATTCCTGTTAGCTAATGGGAATGTTGTAAACTGATGTATCAGAAAGTTCCAGTGACTTCTGTTTTCTTATTTTATCCTCTACAGTGCTTAGCACTCCCAGTGAGTCTCAATTTTTTTCCAACAAAACAGGTCTTATTTAAGAACTCAAATGCATAGCTTACTTCAGTTAAGATACTTATCTCTAGGAGAAATTTGGTGCAAATTACTGATACCAATTCTCATGCAACGTTATGTTGAGGTTCCCGAAGCCTTACCACTCTTTGAATGCAATAAATGTTTAAAATTGCATCAAATGGCTTTTATTATTTGAAAATGTAATGATATAATAGTTGTATATTTAATCCTGATTTTGATGATGTGATATGAACATCAGTCTGTTGGGAAATATGTATAACTTAGCAAGCTGATTTCAATGAATTCTGCATATAGCTAAATTCTAGAATTTACTTGTGTTTAATATATGGAGAAAGACAATTTTTGAAAATGTTTTGTGTTTGTACTGATGTTGTTTTAGGGGCTGGAAAGTACTTGGCTGTGGCATCCTGTGACAATTTTGTAGATATTTACAATGTAATGAGTAGTAAACGGGTAGGAATCTGCAAGGGAGCCTCCAGCTATATCACGCACATGGACTGGGACATAAGAGGTAAGTGGCATTCACTGTAAAAATGTACAGGGAGACTGATTACATTATAGACTAAATACAGTACATCTACAGTATGATTTTGTGGTATCACTGACAGATTTTTTTCTTCAGTTTATGAATATGTTCACAGCATCTGAATAAATATTAAACCCATGATTTTTACCACTACTTATATATTTAGGAGTCATGCAATTTGAAGTAAAATAATTTGTCTCTATAGTTTAGTTTGTTTGGATTTCTTCTTAAATCTTTCTTGTTTATTGTTTGACTTCACAAGGGCATGTAGTAAGAAAACAAGGAGGAATGGCCTTAAGCTGAAGGAGGGTAGGTTTAGACTAGATATTAGGAAGAAATTCATTACTGCAAGAGTGGTGAGACACTGGAACCGGCTGTCCAGAGAGGTAGTGGATGCCCCTTCCGTGAAGGTGGTCAAGGCCAGGCTGGACTGGGCTCTGAGCAACCTGGTGTAGTGGTGGGGGGGATGGAACTGGATGATCTCTAAGGTCCCTTCCAACCCAAAACGTTCTATGATTCTGTGGTTCTACTTCTTTAATAGTATACTGTATGATGGGGTTGTGTCTGGAGCTCAGACACAACCTTTTTGTCAATCATAGCAGAAAGTCTGTACTTCCAGTCTTCCTGGGTAATAATGGATGATTAATTTAAAGGCTAAATTTAGTCCTGTTACATTCAAAACCAAGGCTGTGCAATTGTGAATCTATTAGTTCCCATTCTTATTCCTCTATATAATGACTTTTTTTTTTTAAACAGTCTGATTTAATTTGAAAGAGTGTTAAGAATTAACTTTCTCTGAGAATTTTGAAAAGAGAAAGAGGACATCGGTGAAAATTTCCCTCAGAAATGAAGTAGCATTAAGGCAAGAAGGAGTGACCTGCTTGGAAGCAGCCATTGGCCAGGCAGCATATGTGCTTCAACATCCCAAGGGCACATGCATCATCAGCCAGTTATCATAAGCAAGCTTTGAATTAGACCTAGTACATTTTGTCTATCATGTGATGGGACAACCATAAAAAGGAGAGAGAAGTGATGCATGATTACATTTTTCAAAGAGAGAAGAAAGGGTTGTGAATTTAAGGGATCAAAGGACTTAGATCTCTTTAGAAGACCATACTTCCAGATCCATTATTTATGTATGCAACTTTTTCCAAAATAACTTATGTAATGCTGTTAGCAACAAAAATTTCAAAATAACCTTTTTTTTTTTTTTTTCTTCTATAAAGTGGAATCTTCTATTTAATGTTAACATACAGTGTGTAATATGTTTTATAGGAAAACTCTTGCAGGTCAACACTGGTGCTAAAGAGCAGTTGTTTTTTGAAGCTCCTCGTGGGAAAAAACAGACAATTCCTACTTTGGAGGTAAGGAACTGTACTGCCTTTCCAACTTGTTTGTAAATTAGAGTTATGAAACAGCTGTAAGGGAGTATGAAACATATGTAAGAGGGAATTATGTATAAAACTATAATTTTTAACTGGTCGGTTGAAAAAGCTTCTGTTTCAGCATTTGCTGACCTTTATTCCTTTTTTTAGCCTGTTCAAATAGATAATGCAACCAGAATGATAAAATGCGTAGGGGATATCACATTTGTCTCTTCTGTTAAGTCTGACTTAGTCGTGAAAATCTCACTAGATTTCTGTGTGCCTTCTCTGGTACATAAACACCTCTGAAAACTGCAGATCAGTTAGCCCTAACCCTGCTGTGGAAAACATCATGTCTCTCTTTACATAACAATGCAATATAACATACATAATACGTATAGGCAAGGGTAGTATATTGTAGCTATAATGTTGTTTTGTTTTCTCAGAGATAGAGCATTGTCATAGGGCAGAGAGCAAAAATGGATAGTTTTCAAATAATATTTTCCATGAGATTGAAAGGCAGTATTAGAAAATGCAATCTTTTTTCTTTAGACTGGAAGGGCGGGTAAGGTAAAAATTTTTAAAATGCTTCTTTAGATTTTGGAACTTAATAGAGGTAAAATTACAGGTCTCAAATGAAATGCTGAATAATAAGAAAATAAGTGATTAATATGTAAAACATCATATCCTTCAGATATGATATATCTTTCAGTGAAAGGACTTTTACTTGAAATCAGATATGGAACTAAAATGCCTGGGAAGAAGTATGCTCTATTTCAAATGGGTTGTTTCTGCAGGTAGAAAAGATTGGCTGGGCATCATGGACAAGCGTTTTGGGCTCTTGCTGTGAAGGAATCTGGCCAATAATTGGTGAAGTCACAGATGTAACTGCTTCATGCCTCACTAGTGATAGTAAAGTTTTAGCTACGGGAGATGATTTTGGGTTTGTGAAACTGTTCCGATACCCTGCTAAAGTAAGTAATTTTCAGCTGTTTATGGTGAACATTAATTAATAAATCTGCCTTTTCAAAACAGTGAAAAGTTATCACTCAGAACAAAATAGTGCTTTTATATTGTTTTCCCTATGATCAACAAAGGCATTCAGTATTACATTGCAGTTTGCAGTGCATTAATCTTGCAGGTAGTAAGAATAGCCATTCCAGGTGAGACTATAGAGCCATCTCATGCAGTGTCTTGCTGCTGACAGTGGCAAATGCACAGGAAAACTGTATTAATGGGAATACTTTGGAAAACAGTGAAAATTTCTTGCTCGGTTATGGTTCACTCATCAGTTTAAGGACCTTCATTCCGTTCAACCTCAGTAATTTTTTTCTAAGATGAAGAGCTTTAATATTATTTAATAATGCACCATAGAAAAGCCATTACAGAAGCACATTATATTTCTACTACTCTTCCAGAACCTTTCTAGTTTTCCTGTTTATTTGTTAGTAAATATATCTTCAGTTCTGAAATGTTGCCATGATGAGGATGGTAACAATGCACAAATACTGACTTGAAACGGTCTATGTGAATTTTATTCTAAATCTGTTAGATTATTGTCTCTCTTAGGAAAAGTGATCCAGTGTTAATTGCTTGAATCTGTTTGTGAACTAATTCTTGCATGCTTGATATGGAGATTGCTATAGGAGAGAGCATGAAGTTGCTATAGGAGAGGGACTTGGCAAATCATGTCACACAGTCATATGGAATGCAAAACACCTGAAGCATGGACCGTAAAGAAGTTAAGACATGTCATTGTGCACTGGCAACTCATTTCAGTTTTGCCTAGCAGACTGGTTAAATTTGATTCTTGCCTTTCTTTTTCCTCTCTAAGGGAAAGTTTGGAAAATTTAAGAGGTATGTTGCTCACAGTACCCACGTAACAAATGTCCGTTGGACCTACGACGACAGTTTGTTGGTCACTGTTGGAGGAGCAGACACCTCTTTAATGCTGTGGACTTATGAGATGGAAGGGCATCGGGATAGCAGGCAGTGTGACAGTGAAGAGTCTGACCTAGATTCTGAAGAAGATGGAGGTGAGTAATAATTTTTAGAACTAGCTGGATTATGCTATTTCAAGAAAACTTTATTTTTATTAATGGAAAACTGCTAATTTAGAAATAATCTTGTTTTATAGATTGTTTTGATTGTAAGTAGTGAAGAGTCTTCAAAAACGTTAAATAAAATTTCTTTTGGGGGAAAGGACTGATAAACTGCTGACAAGAAAATGATCATGAAAGGTTTGACTTACTGCTGCTTTGAGCCAGAGAAAATTGTGCTCAATGTCTATAAAAATAGAATCATCACAGTTTAGATTTAGGCACCAATTCTAAAGGAAATATATTGAAATCCGTGTAACATGAGATCATTGTAATCTTGATGTTATAGCATCTTTTTCCATAACATGGAAGCATAGTAAACTAAGGTAGACTGATGTTGATAAATGGAGCAATCTATTGCAAGATCATAAAATCAATAGTTATAAAGTGTTAATTACATTTTGTAATATCAACTTCTGCTGCTTTTGCCATACTTAGTGTTTTTCTTTTTGTGTTATGAAGTAACATGTTATGTTACTTCCAAGGGTTCATTAGCCTCCAGGCTTGTTTTCTCTTCTCCCAAGCACAGTTCTTCCTCCATTACAATTCAACATTATTCAAGCCTTTTTAAACTATCACTGCTACTCTTTAAATAGTTCTGTGTAATAAATTATCTTCAGTTTTCACTAAAATCTGCTAAATGACCAAAGAAACACTTTAAATATCAGAGACATAGTAAACATTCATTGGAGAAGAGTTTTTATTCACTTTCTTCTTAAAATTATTGAAGAATACGTCCACAAAGTAATTTAATGGCCTACATGAGGACTTGTCAGCTTTAACTTTCTAAGTCAAAAATTGAAATTTTCAGAGATTTCTGTCTGTGACCTGTTAGCACATCTTAGCCCTTTAACCTTCCCTAGGCTCTGGTGCTTTACACAGAACTCTCTTAAGCTATGTGTTCAACAGCACTCTAGAAGATAGAGAGGTCTGTGAAGCTTTACAAGAAAAGACACTGATATCTTTATCCACAAAAGCTTCTCTTGGTCATGTCCTATTAATTTCAGTTAGAGTTAAGAACTATTCACAGTGTTGGCATTAGAAGTCTTATCTTAAAAAAATAAATAATGGTGGGTGAGTAACAACCCTGTCACTATTTAGCTTTTTTGCCAAGTTTACCATAGTGAACATCACCTTGATATGCCTGACTGTCCCTAAGCATTGTGTAGGAACCCTGTGCAGACCTATAGATTCCATCATGATGAATGGGTCCTGGAACTGAGAACAACCAGGTGCCAAAACTTACAGAACTTAAGAGCAGGTGGCAGGTAGTGTGGTCCTTTGTTAGTGATCCTAGTTAAGGCCAACCAAGCAAAAATGGGAGATAGCTTTGAACTCCAATTATTTTTTCCACAAAGATATTGTTGGGAATTTTTTTCTCAGAATGCCTTTTATTGACAGTGTTCATGATTCCCAGCTACTTCCTTTCTGATGTATATTTATGTTACTAATAATAGATGCTATAATTTTTTTTGTAATCCAGTACGTTGTTGAAATCTGCACAAATTATGATTTAATTTTTTTTTCTGGTACCTTAGTTTGGTTTGATACTGTTCACTCTGATTTTGTTAGGTTATGACAGTGATGTAACAAGGGAAAATGAAATTAATTACACCATCAAAGCCTTATCAACAAACATTAGACCAATGTTTGGAATTAAGCCTCATCTGCAACAAAAGGAGCCAACCTTAGATGAAAGGTAATTACTAAATTGCAATTCTAGCCAGGGAATCAATCTGAAATGATGATTAATAGTAAAACAAATTATATTGAAATATATAATTCTTAACTTAAAAGGATACTTATAAAAAGAGTCTGAACATTTCTTTGGAAGAAAGAAAAAGAAAATTCTTACCTAAGGACTAGGCTGTATATATATTTCAGAGAACACAAAAGACTACAAATGGTGTACGTACATTTTTATGTTTGGGGAATTTCTTGAGATAATTAATTTATTTGCTGGTGTTTAAGAATATGTTCTTTTTGAAACTTAAATACTAAGTGGTATCTAGTGGTGGCATTATAGACATGAGCCTGTACAATTTTTTTAATGAAACACAGCACTCTGTTTTTTGGTTTGGCCAACAAACTACTCTGACAAAGTCAGCTCTAATTGCTCCTTGCACTGCTTCTGTCTCCACATAACTTGTACCTTTCTTTGAAAAATTCTGACTGCAGTGGTTCTGCATTTTCTGTTAATGAGTCTTGGAAAGTGAAGTTGGTTGCTTTGCAGTGTAAGTTGTATTGCTTGGTTCACTATTGTTTGCTTTAGAAATGAATGGGTGGGGAGCAGAGTAGAATAAACCAGAAAATAAAATAAATGTGAATTAGAAAAACAATTTATAACCACTAGAACGTTGTAGAATCTGCAGCCGAGAACAGGACTCTGAAAGTTGTTGTTTGTTGTCAGTAAAATAGATGTGGACAGTATATGTGAGGGAAAAGGGAAGAGGAATTCCTAATGTGGCAATTGAGGAATGCTAATATTAAAGAGAGGGGAGTGAGGAAAACGACACAATATAATTAGGTGTAAGGATACGGAGAAATAGCAGATTGGAAACCTCCTGCAGGAATATGAGGAGTTCTGCTATGACACTCATGCCTATTTCTGCAGTGAAGCTGGACAGATCTGTGATACCCTTGTTGAGAAATGCAACTTGATACTGTGGGAGTTTTGGGTCGTCTTTTGCTTTTAAGTTGTGTTGCTGAAGGAGGGAGTGGGATGCCTGTGTATAAAGCTGTGGTTCCCTGTCTTGCATTTATAATGAGAAATAGTCTTTCTCTTTTTTAATTAGATTATTTGATGTGGAAATCAAAAAGAAATAATGTGCATGGTATGAAAGTTATGATTAAAGAGATTTTTTTTTTATATGAAATTGTAAACCTCTTGTGTTTCTTTCAAGAATTGTTGCTGGAAGCTGAGTGAATTGTGGTTTTCAGTTTCAAATAAAATATTAAAAGAGAATTAATTCTGTAGCAAGGTAATTAAGTTCTGATTCAGAATGCGTAAAAGTTAATAAAAGAATTCCATTGACTGCATTATTAAAAGTTTGGGGCCCTAAAACTTCAGAGAAAAGTTCTTTGTAAAGACTAAAACCAGGTTATGGTTACCGTATATATTTTAATTTCTGTTCTGCTAAAGCTAATATTGTGTAAGATTGGTAAGTATTTTAATCTACTTTCATAGATATTGATTTTTATTTTATTTTTATTACTCTTTCCTTTTGCTTCCTATGAAGGCAAGGGGTAGTAAGGTAAGTTTATTTACACAAAGTCCAGGATTAAATGCATTTTAATAACAAACTACTTAGAAAAATAATTGCACTTTGAAATAGAAATGAAGAATTTACCTCTTTACTATTAAATAGCAACTTGATAATGGGTAGAAAAGGGATAAGGATCAAAAAAATCCATCCGGTTCTCGGTCTGAGTTGACATGAGTGAACACTAAATAGAGTACTTGGGACAAGGTGTTCAAATCTCTTCCTCCTTTCCTCAATACTTTGGAGTGACTAAAGAACAGCTTGACTTCAGTAGCTAGAGCCAGAGCTTGCCTAACTGCTTGTGGACTTCTGTAAGACTTTATTACAGTATTGTTGTACACGTCCAACATGGAATAAAGAGTGCAGTGAGCATATTGCAGAGATGCCTGAAGTGACTATCTGAGCAGTATCACCATGTCCGCAGCACTATGTTGGAGTTAATAAAGCTTCAGGGATGAGAGGAGAATTGTTGCCCTGGCTGCAGCATTTTACCAATGCACTGTACTACTTGAGGACTGGAGCTGCTGGGTCCCCATAGCGTTCATGTGGGAGTCTCTAGCTTAGGTACCCGCATTAGGTTATGAACTTTTGTACATACTCTATTTAGAATAGATGCATACTCAAAAACCTGCTGTTACATTTGTAGCACAACAAATCCTTAGGCTATAGGCCACTCTTCAGACTTGTAGACTGAGCTGCCAGGACACTTGGACCTACACTGGTTAAGAAAGGAGAAGCCCTCTCATACCTACCTGGACTCTGTGTCAGTGAAGTCACATACCTGTGGTGCTAGAGGATACAATTGTGTAAATCTCTGTGTACCCTTCTTAAAGACAACTTGATATAACCAAGAAAGTTACTGTCTTCATCTAAATTTTAGAACGTACCACTAGCAACCTCTATCAAATTAATTCTGGTTTTAGGCTTTTGGAAAAAAAAAAAAAAGATGCATCTGTAAAGTCTTTGTTTCTGTATAAGTTTTGTGGGGCATGTATAACTTATAAAGAGTTTTGGATTGACCCTGACTGAATGCAAGGTGCCCACCAAAGCTACTCTGTCACTTGCCTCCTCAGTTGGACTGGTGAGAGAAAATACAATGAAAGGCTTGTGGGTGAAAAAAAGGACAAGGGCAGATCACTCACCAATTACTGCCACAGGCAAAACAGGCTCAGCTTGGGGAAATTATTTATTACCAGTTTAATCAGTATAAAAAAAAAAAAATCTTAAAACACTTTACCCCTCCCATCTTCCAGGGCTTAACTTTACTCCTGAGTTCTCTAACTCCTCCTCCCACAGCAGCACAGGGGGACAGGGAATGGGAGTTGCAGTCAGTTCACCCATTATCACTGCCACTCCTTCCTCCTCAGGGGAAGGACTCCTCACACTCTTCCCCTGCTCCAGTGTGAGGTCCTTCCCATTGGAGAAGTTCATGGAGGACTTTCTCCAATGTGAGTCCTTCTCATAGTCTGTGATGGATCCAACATGAATCCCTTGCATGGGCTGCAGTCCTTAAGGAACTGACTACAGTTGTGTGACCTCCACAGGGTCACAAGTCCTGCCAGCAAACCAGCTCCAGTGTGTGGGCTCCTCTCTCCATGCTGACACAGGTCCTGCCAGGAGCCTGCTTCAGTTCAGGCTTCCCATGGGGTCATAACCTCCTTCGGGCACACCCCCTCTCCAGTGTGTTGTCCGTCACAGTTGTCCTTCCACTGTGGATCTCCATGAACTGCAGGGGGACAGATGCTTCACCATGGTCTTCACCATGGGCTGCAGGGGCCTGGAGCACCTGCTCCCCCTCCTTCTTCACTTACCCTTGTGTTTGCAGAGTTGTTTCTCTTGCATATTCCTACTACTCTTCTCCAGTTGCTGTTGTGCAGCAACTTTTTCCCCCTTCTCAAATGTATTGTCCCAGAGGTGTTACCACCGTCACCGATGGCTCAGCCTTGGTGGGTCTGTCTTGGAGCTGGCTGGCACTGGCTCTGCTTCTAGCAGCTTCTCATAATGTCACTCCTGTAACCCCTCCTGCTACCCAAACCCTGCTGTGCAAACACAGTACAACTGTTTAGAGTGTACATTGTACATCCATGGCATTCCATGTTATGCATAAGATTGTTATGTTGACAGTCAAACATCAGAAAAATTATGATTCTTGTAGTAACACTTTATTGGAATCCCTGTATTCTCAGGATCTCAGGGGCACACTAGTGTACAATGTACTTCTGAGAATGTCTTTCCACTAATTTAGAAAGGATGTGTATTAATGATTAAAAATGTGTATTATTAGTGTATGAAGGAGACTCTATTCAGAAACTATCTGAATCTCTTTTATTGTATTGTAGAGTATTGTAGATTGTTGTGCCTGACAGCTGAAATGTAATTCATAAGCTCTAGCTTAATAGTGAAGTTTCCTCTACATAAAAGGAACATGACTTTTAGTATCCAGAGATAAATGAGATAAAGAACAGAACACTAAAAGAGGAAGTAGCTTATCTGAAATCTCATGTGCTTCCTAGTTCTAACTCACAAAAGCACATCTGTGAGGCCAAGAGCTGTAGTCTGACACTGTGGCCTGCATTTAGAGTCAGGTATTGCTCAAAAATTGATTCACTAAAATTATTTTGATTGTAATATTTATTAGAAAGGTTGAGTTGACCTTGGGGTTTTTTTAAGCAGTAGGATGACATCAGAAATTACAGTTTTATGCCATTTAGTCTATCAAAAATTCAAATACATATCAAAGGGTGTGCCAAAAGAGCGGTTCTTTGCTAAAGCGCTGCAGAAATCAATGAAGGAATTCCTAGAGTCAGAAGGGGATAGCAAGCTAAAGAGGTTGCAAAATGCTGTAGTCTGGTGGATAGTGACTTCTTTAGTCACCTATAGGTGAAGGAACATGGGACTTTTTTGCCTAATTATTTTTTTCTAGTGACCCTTAATTTGAAAATCTGAGTGCAGTTCCCAGAAAATGAATCTGAACTAAGGATTAGTTTTGCTCTTCAACAAATAAAGTTTCCTGTTCTCAGCTTTTTGGTTTTGCTCATAAATTACTTTTTTCTTTGAAATAGCAGAAGTTAAAAAAAAAAAATTCTTTTCCCCTTCACAACAACAAAGTTTTACTAAAAGCAGTGGACATTTCTGTGTCTGTATCATTTTTACAGCTAAGACATTAACTGGAGATGTAAGTTGCATCAGCTTCTACTTCCAGGCCATACTGCTTTTATTTTTCCATCAGGACAAACATGATCTTCCCAGGTTTTTCTGAGACTTTTTTTTTCTTATTTAAGCAATTCAGTATTCAAAAGAAAATAAGAGAGATGGTTATTTTTTAAACCTGGAGATGCTAGTGCTGTAAAAGTTGATATGCTGAATAGAAATATGTTAAAGCTATAAATTTCAGGCAACTTTTAAAAAAACCATGGATCTTGAACTCAAGATTTCATTCAAATTCAGTTGGTTTAAGGTTTGCTTGCAGTGCTGTTAAAGGCCACCTCTACTAATGATATACCATTCTCATGTAGTGAAATTACCATACTATGTCACTTAAATTGGAATACTTATTTCAACTTCTATTGAAAACACAAAATACCACTGGCTGTGAGGCAGCACTTAGGTCTGTCACTTGAATTATTTATAATTTCTGAATAATATTGTTTATAGGTAATTTTTTTTATGTGATTAGGTGTCTACTATGTCTCTAGTTTGGCTGTGTAATAGCACTAGGCATATTCACCAACACAAAATAAATTTGAAAACCATTTTGATCCTTTAGTAAGACTTCTTTTCTAGCATTTTTTTTTTTGCTAAATAAATTACTAAGAAAAAATCCATAAAGATTGATTTTGAAAACATTTTTGGCTCAGCTACTTCCTGAACTGCAAATCACTGAAGGCTAGGAGATGATTCTGGAGAATATCACTACATTCTTATTCGGTTCTTATGCTCCCTGAAGTTTGCTATTTGTCACTGTCAAAGGGGAAATGCTGTGAATAATGTCCCTTACATAAGAATGGCTATACCAAGAGATCTCAAAACTGAACAACCAGGAATTCCAGTAATTTTTCACTATAAATTTTAAAGATTTGCAGGCAGCTAAAACCATTACTCAGTCCATATGCTGAGATCTCTTACATGAAAGATCCCAGTGGTTTTTATCATTTGAAAATTCTTTGGATGTTTTGCATCCTCTCCCAGGTAAATTCAAAACCAAGTGTTGTGGCAAAACTGCTTTTATTTATGTATTTACTTATTTTTTGTCTTGAGGATTTTTTTGAGTGTGTATAAGGACATATGGACAGATGTAAAAATGGGAAGGAAACAAAAAATTATTTACAAATTAGTCATTTACAGATTCAGAAATGAAGAATTTCTACCCAGTACAGACAGCAAATCAATCTAAATTGTTTTTCCGAGGGAGTGAGAGAGGAGGAGGCTACTGAAATGAAATTTCCTTTATCTGAACCTCCTAATTATCACCTTGTAATTGCTACTGAAGAAGAAATTAAGAGATTTTAAACAAATATTTTCCATATGTTTTGGATAAATTAACAGAATGCAATTACATTTTTCTGTTTGCTATTCTAGTGACTTGTGATATCAATGTAAATATCACAAATTCCAGTGCTCTTTTTGTAAAAAATCATCTTCTCTTTTTACTCTGTCAACTTGTGTGATCTGGGAGAGGGGAGAAGCCAGGAAACAAAATGAAAAATTATAGCCTGAGATTTTGTAATAGTAGCTTCCTCTTTCTCTCTATCTTCCCTATTTGCAGAATAAATTAGATTACAGGAAAGTTTAAATTTAAAGTTAACTTTTTAAGAAACAACAGTTTTAGAAAACATAGAAGCCAACCTTTATGCCCATTGAAATGTATGTTAGTACCCTTGAGATTGAAACCCCTGAGATTTCAGATTTCATTCTTTCCAAGCATGAATCTAATTATTATTAGTTATTCGTATAGAAAGCTGTAGATGGAAACAACATTATGGAAAGAAACAGTTTGAGGTAATTATTTCTTCCTCCCAAAGATGAGCTAAAACTCGTGTCTTTGAGGAAGTGAAAAAACCAATTAGCAAGGTATCAAGTTTTGCCAAATAATCTCCTTTTTTGAATGCAAAGAGAAGAATCTATTAATTTTGCAACTTAAAAGGAAATGTCTAGAGGAATGATTGCATGGCCCATTGATGGGGGTTGGAAGATTTGTATTTGGTTTATGATCTGTGTAGACTGGTTTTATCAATAGAACCTAAGAAGTTATCTGAACAGAATGCATTTATTGAAGAAAAGGATAACTGGAACTCAGACATATTCCTAGATAGGTTGAATACAACTTCACATAAGTCTTCCATATTTCAGTGATGAGGACTGAACAAAAGCCTTTTACAAAATCTGCCTTGTATGAGTTAGGTATCCAATCATATCTCCATGTATGTAAACATTTGCTAGCTAGTAATTTGGAGTGTCATATGCAGTCCATGTGGTAGAATTGGATATTAAAGAATTGAAACTGCCAAATTAAAGCTAAAAAGTTTCCTCTGACTATATGAACATTTGTTTCAGTGGACTCAGGAAAATTGTAAGAGAAAACTGAGCTCTGTTCTTGGAGAATTTCTCATTTCCCCTGCATAGCGCTTACTGTGAAAATTATCTGAAGGTATTTGAATTCTGTAGTCATTGAAGAATTGCATGCTACTGACTGTAAAACCTGTTTAAGATACACTTGGATTTTATTGTGAGAAAAGGCTTAGTTGCTTCCTATATGAGGAACAGTGCATCAATCTCAAAATGCAGGATAAAGTTAGAACTAAGAACAGATTCAGTAAAGCACACTAATTTCAATGAGTGAAAAAAATCCATTTGTAAATTAGTGAATTGTTAACATCGTGCTCTTAATTTTCAGAAAGTTTTTCCTAAATTATTCCCTAAATTATTTTTGCTTCACTTACAAGTGATAAAGACTAACCTGTGTCCTCCTTGCCACAGTGGAGTTGCTTGGTGGTTCTAACCACGTCAGTGGAAGTGTACCTGCTAATCAAACTAATGGAAAGTACCTGTGCATACTAAAAATATTAGGAAATAATCTATACATGCCCCTATATTGTGATGGTTAATAATGATTTTCGGCTAGTTGAGGTATAGGAGTGTGCATCATACCTGACTGAGGAAACCTGTCCAGTGCAAAATATCTTCAGTTAACATAAGCTGGATTGAATAGTCATGAAAAAACAGTATATATCAGCAGAGCTCAATAGCCCACACATTTTGACTAGCTGAGATAATTGTATTTTAGTATAGCTGAGTGTATTTTTATGAGTGAACCTGAGTGTCTGTCTCTAATAGTGAGTTGACTGTTCTATCCATCAGCTCATTTTGTGCATTAAATCTGCACAGCCTTTCTTTGAGTAATTCAGGTGTTATGTTTGCCAACTCTTTAAACACTTGACATACTTCAGAGGTTTTTGGGTCTGCTTCTGTTTTCTTTCCCTGTTTGCAGTAGGAATTATTCCTAAGAATTTTATTCTCATGCAAACAAGTGTTCATAATTCCCATTTAAGTGAATGTGAATTTTCTATACAAATAATAGATTTACTTAGTAATAGGTTTACTTAGTCTGTGAAGTGAGTAATCCTCTTGTTGTAAAAAGAAGTAAACAAACCAGGAAGTCAATAATAACAATAATAATTTATATGAATGATTCACTGACTTTTCACAACTTTTAGCCAAACTTGTATAAGTAATCCTTTTCTCTTTCCCATCTGCTGCTGAAAAGAGGTTCCAGGTAATGCTTTTATTTTGCTATCTAGTCCATCATTTACTGTCATCTCCCACTTTCCTTAAAAAGCCATCTGTCATGTTGGGTGCTATACAATGCACCTATCACTCTTTAGAATATTGCTGTATTACGAATTATAAATTACATGTATTCATTGTAGTTGTTTCATTAAATAGGCTAGATTTTTTCAAACCTAACAATATAAAATTGACTCCATAAACTATTAAACTTCCCTATGTTTTACAAGTAGTGTTATTCAATATTTATTAAAATATAGAGATTAACACTCTTTCCAGTTCTCTGGTTGACAGCTGTTTTGCTGTCACTGATGAGACAGTCTCACCTGACATGTCAAAGTGTATATATTACTAAATTATATAAGAATTAGATTACCTATATCTGCATTAATAGATACAAACTGGTACTTACTACTCATAGGACATGTGAAAATGTTTATGAGCAATTATTACCAAGAAGCAGTATTTAGAAGCTACCAAGTTTCATCATCATCTAATGGAAATCAGACCTCTATAAATTTTTACAAGTGACTTTGAAGATCTTGCCAACAGTAAATTGAAAGAAGTCATCCTTATTTTTAAAATTCATTCTATATTTATTCTCTTAATAACTTCAGAAACTCAGTATTGATAATGAAAATAGAGAGTGAAATACATCATATAAGACAACATGGGTAACAGCATCAGTAATGTTGAAACTATGTCTAAAAGTATGAAAAAGGGATTTCTTTGTTTCACAAACTACTTAGAAATGCTCATACGCAATTTTCATGATTTCATAACAAGAAATACTAAAAAATATATACGGACTCTATTTTCATTTTGAAAATAAAGCAGCAATATTAAGGTATTCATTTCCCTTATGATAGATGGCTGCAGCTCTCCTTCCACATTCTCAAACTGAACTCGTCCATATGTGCATTTGCCCCACAATGTTATTCGTGCTCTCCTTCCCATCTTCTGCCCGCGGTTTTTTGAGCATGGAACCAGTTGTGCATACAGGTGTATGACCACTGTGTGTTGCATATGCCACCACTCACTTTCCTGCACATTAAATAGCGAGTGAAAAATACCTTCACCTTTCACACCTTCAAAAATGCACTTGGAAAATGTATTCTTCTGTCCTTCAACATTCTTGCTTTTAAATACGCAAGCTGACATTTTGAAACTTAATTGGGAAAAAAAGGCATATGTGCTTCTAATTTATGTTCCAGTTCCACTGCTCTGGTAGAGTTAACCTTTCATGGATAGGTACTTGGATAAATTGTTTAGGTGACCTGTGAGATAATAAAGCTGAGTAAAAATTGCCAGTACGTTCTCTTTATTCTGTTGTGTGGTAGTGTACAAATGTAAACGTACTCTAATGATTGGCTAAGGATGATATCAACCTATATTTGTATCTATGTAGCTTTTAAGCCTAGAAGATCTTCTCAAGCAGTTGTGAGATTGTTTTACCTCTTCTCCCATTCTATCATGAGGGATTAGCAGACAGCAAATATAAAAATGCCACATTCTAGAACCAAGCAGCGGAGAAATGTTTAGTTCCTTTGCATGTTGATGCTTCACAGCAAAGTGGCACTCTGATTTTCTTTTTACTCTTTAATATGTCTTTGACAACTGGATTTCTTTTCCTCTTCGGATTCTGGAACATGTCAGTAGAAACAGCATGCACAACAAACAGCATGGACAGTCTCACATTTCTGCAGTCCTCCCTACTATACTTGCTGTTTGATTTTATTGCTCTACATGGGATGAGAGAAGAGGTAACATGACAGTGGAAAGCTGATTATTGGGAAAACTAATGGTTAGAACCAACAGAATCACTGGTATACAATCTTTGTCTTTTTAACACTTCAGCATTGTTCCCAATTCCCATGTTTAAAAAGAGAAAGATACATATTGCATTTACTTAATTAAAAAAAAAAGAGGTTTCAATGTAACATTATGTAAGTGATTTTTAAGAAATCACTTTTGTATAAGTACTTTTTGTACTTGCATTTTTAAGTGGGATCCTAGTTACCTAATAAATGAGCAACAATTATGGAGGTACCCAAGAAATTCAGAAATTTTAATTAGAACTCAAAATAAAATTGTAGGTAGGAAAAAATTTGGTTAGCTGCTGTTAATATCATTAACTTTTTACAAATAAGGTATTAGATGTGTTTCAGTATCTATAATTCTTAGCCATAAAATAACAAGTTATGTAGAATCATGAGTAGGTTCAATTCTTTTAACTTGTTAATCCTGCTCATTCTTCAGAGACTTTTGATTTCATAGGCAGAGAACTGGTTATTGTTTTGTCATTTAACTTCACAGACTGTAAGTACTAGAATTTGCTCCATTTTAAGTAGTATTTATATTCATATGCATAAACCCCCAAACCACTACAAAATCCAAACAAAACTTTTTGTAATATTTTGGGATATCAGTGTGACCATTTCAAAAATTATATTGGGGTAAAAAATTCTTTTTAGAAGAGAAGAGGGAATCTTAATGTAAATTTACCTCAGATGTTTAATGAAGCTGTCTGATTTATTTCTCCTTCTCCCCACCCCAGCAAATTTTAAGAGGAACTGCATTATATTAATTTCTCTTTGTCTCTTCATTTACTTGAATGAATATGGGCAGGTTTTTATTCTCTGTATCACTGAAAAGCTTTCAGAAAGCCCATTCCCTGTACTCAACCTGTGCCTTTCAGTTTCTGTTCATGCATTTCAGTATTTGATTCAGTTTGGGTAGCACACAGTGATGAGAAGATTTCTACGGCACTGGGAGATCCCTGTTGCCTTCTAATCAATGTATTTTTAACTGAAATTGCTCATCTGCTGTGAAAGTGGGGAATAAATACAGTCAAACATCTTTTCCTCTTTTAGATGACCTCTTTCCGTATATATTTAATATGGTAAACACTGGGGAACTTTTTAAAAATTTAGACATTTCTAAATAAAAAATGTATTTTCTTTATATTTTAAAAGGAAAAGGTGAGAGTTTTACCTAGCAGTGCTATTTTTGTAGTCTGACAAACTAGATGAGAGGATCCTAGGAGTCAGTGATGGAATAGGACAGAAGAGAAGACATGGAAAATAACTTGGCAGGCTAGGAATTTCACATCAAGTACAAAAGCTGGTTGAGAGACAGTGGTGATTCAAGAGTGGTCATGAAATTGGATGTTGGGATTGGTGACAGAAATGAGACAGATTCCATGATTCCTGTACTGGTCAATGTGCTTGTATGGATGATGAAGACGCCCCAGACTGTGATTGGTGTGTTTTTCCTCCTCTTTTCCAAAAGTTAGGAGATTACTTTCTCCCCTTCACGTACCGAAAGTCTTACAGCTAGGTCCAGACTATAATTGAAAAGGATATTCAAATGTCTTGCTTTTCTGTCACAAGGTATACATGAATCTCTTCTATTTGGAAACCTCAGAGAGGAAAAAAAGAACTGAAGACCTTTGAGAATTAAGTCTGAGGATACATTCCCACCACACAAATTTCAAGCAGGACTTGAAGACTGTATTTAAATGCTGTTTTCTTTTAAAATTTGTCTCTGAACAAATAGACCTTTAGTGCCTGTCCACACTGGACTCCTTGTCTGACCTGTCTTGCTATATATGGTCAAAGTCTCCAGATTTTGCCTTTACTGCCAATTTATTAGAGACCTGTTTTTCAATAAAAAGAATTTTGGGAGTAACAAAAACCAAGTGTTAAACTACCATTCTTGGTGAAGTTGTAGAAATCTTTTTCCACACTTGAGCTTTTGTTCTCTGGTTTAATTTGCACTTATTTATGAAGGAATATCAAATATGATCTTTCATCTTCCTTCATGCCTTGAATTTTCCTTTTACCTTTAAATTATTATTTCATACCTTGCTCCGGTAAGAATTTAATGCAGCCCATATTCCCTCCCTGTGAAAACACTCAGAGTATTAACTAACTATGCAGTTTAAAGTAGCAATATTTCTTGTTATATCTGGACTTGATTTTCTATTGCAAAGGTTTCACATTTCATAAAATCTACATGTATGATGCTGAATTTGAGTGATCCAGCCATATGACAGGCTTCTTTAGCAGAGAGAAATTTTTCATCATCTATTTTTCTTTTGTAATTTTTTTCCCTTAAGTACTTTACAGGTTTCTAAGAGTAGAGGAAGTAACGGGAACATCTCAAAACACAGTTTATAGTTGCAGTATAATTTGCATTATAATATGTACAAATATTTTGTTCCACAATATGACATCAATCTATGAATGTACTGAAAGTGGGCAGGGAAAATGAAGAAATAAACCTAAGAAAATGCTATTTTATTTGAATAATTGAAAAAATACTTTTCAACTGTAGTTCAAAACATAGTGTAAAAACAAATCATATTTTATTGTTCTTAGAAAACACAGTCATTATCTTGAATCAAATTCTTCACTCAAACAGGAGCAGAGATGAAATTAAAAGTGCTTTGTACTACAAAGGAATATGAAAAACGAGCTGACCTGTTGCTTTATGTGTGGTATTAGTTTGTTAAGCTGCATATTGGATTAAATCATCTGGATGTAATTGAATCTATACATAAAATTTATTTTTAAATTAATTGTTCTTCTTAACAGTCAAGCTTACAGGTTTCTTGTCATGGCCACAAATGCTGTATCTACAGAATCAATAACCAATGCTCCTGCAAATTACTGGGAATAGCTGCATAATTTTAATAAATAAAGCTCATTTGTGTGTTTGTTTCTTTGTATATGAACAGTTGAACATAGTGTGAAAGACAGGTTGCAGATATTTGTTAAATATATCCTGCTGAGATTTCTTAATTAAATCTGGACTATTCAGAACAGTGGAACATAAATTATGGCTGTTACTCCTGCATTTGCATGGTCATGGTTTACTGCCAAGTAAGCATTGATCGATATCTCATTTCTGCTGATGTAAGAGAGAAGTTAGGGTCTACTGAAGGCATGTGGGAACAGGAATGATTATCCCAAGTATTTAGATTAATCAGCTAAGCCTTTATTCAGTAAAAATTACTACAGAGAAGATGGAAGTACCTTAAGAACATAGTTTGAAAAAGCTAAGAATATTTTATAAGTGGTTAGTCATTTTAAAACAAACCTTTGCATTAACCCCATGGATTGTTGAAGAATTGTTAGAGAACCTAACATGTTAAAGGATTTTAGGTTTTGCTTTTCTCCTTTGACAGAGATATTCCTTTTAAGAATGAATACAAATATTAATTAAGTAGGATAGGGTTTAAGTTTTCCGTATGCATTAGCAGGTTGGAAGGTACTGTGTTAGTATGGAATGGGTGACGGACAGCCTTCTCTTATTCACAGTTCTTTATTTCAGACCACCAGTTAGTAGGGCATTGCCACAGCCGGAGAAACTTCAGACAAACAACGTGGGGAAAAAAAAGAGACCTATAGAGGTAAGAAAAACATTGATCTCCTCTTCTTCTCCTTTTAGGATTTTGTTTTCCAGAACATGTGTCTGTGGACACATTAAATGATTGTTTTATGTTAAATGTGTCAAAAATGAAGATAGTGACTAGTGGGTAAATAGCAGAAAAAGTGGGAGAGGCTGTATTTCTTTTTCTTGCAAATTAAGTTGAGTACAACTTAATTCTTGGTAATCATAAAACCTTTGAAATGTCTGTAGAAAGCAATATGTCCTGTGTAGATAACTGGATTGTTAAAGGGTGCATTATTGCTAATAAAACTACTCATTTTTTAATCCAAATTTTTTTTTATTTACTCTAAAACTTCATTTAAAATTCATCATGGATAAAAATTTTTAAAATAATTCTAAAAATTCTATTAATATTGCCTTTAGCTTGGGCACCTGTTTTTTGATTACATGGCAATTGCAAATAAATATATTCACTTTTGATTACTCTGAAGTGGAAATTTCATCTAACCTTGGAAAATGCAGTTGTTTATACCAACTCAAATATCGTCAATGCTATAAAATGATTGGTGTAGCATAATAAGCAGACTTTTGACATCAGTGTTCTAGAAGTTTTAGGCTGTAATTCAGCTTTCTGAATTGCCAGCTGGAATTAAATTGTGGACCAGTGTTTGTCATTCTTTGTTTCTTAGTGTCTTCTGTATTAGAAGAGTTATGCCCTTCATTGCCATTTGTTTATTGATGTGCATGTATATATGAGTGTCTCTTTGTATGTGTATATATATATATATGCTTGTATATACAGACATAAATAGTCTGCAGTGTCCACCAGAGAGATATAAAAGGGTGAGATGACTGTGTATGACAAGAATGAGCAGCAATTTAAATTGATGGGGAAGGCACAATCTCAGTTTCTGTTGGTTTGAGACATTGTTTCAGTCCTTTTCATTTACTACATGAGGACATAATTAAAAAATAAAATCTTACAAAAATTGTAAAGTTCATAATTGTTTTAAGGCTTTGATAGTATCTAATAGATGTGCATATCTTTTTTAGGACCTAATTTTGGAGCTGGTATTTGGGTATCGAGGCAAGGACTGCAGGAACAATGTGCACTATTTGAATGATGGTGCTGATGTAATATATCATACTGCATCTGTTGGGATCTTGTACAATGTGGCAACAGGTAGGAGAAAATTTTGAGGGAAAACATTTCTTCACATATGTGGAGTTACAGTTTATGAAGTAACTAATATGCTTTAAATAAGTATGCAGAAGAATTACAATTTGTTGCTGAAAAATTCAGTCTTTAGAGATGATTCATAATATCTGCATAAGCAAACTAAATATATTGAAATGTTCCTGGTGACTAAACTTTGAAAGAAGTAAAGATTTGATGATTTTGGTGTTAGTTTTTTGAAATTTGCTTGTTAAAATGATTACAGAAACTAAAAGAGCTGAACAACAGGGTCACTGTAGTTTGGGTTTTTTTCTAAAATAAGTTAATAGTATTTTTATTTGGTTTACTTTTCAGTCAGCTGTATTGCATACATTCATTCCAGTAACCAGTTTAGTTTAGATAACTTCAACCATTTAAGGGTAACACAATGCCATTTTTTTCTGTGAAATTTGAGCAACTTGATGTAGAAAACTTGAAGGAGTAGTTTGGAGCTACTGAGTGTTGTGTGTAAAATAGAGATAAAAAATTAGGAGTTTCTGTTTTCTGGTTTTAAGCTCCAAAATGCAACATCACCATAATCCTGTTTTCTAAAAGATATAAAATTTTCAAATAGTGACCATGTGTACATGTGTGTAAATGTTTTAATTAAAGTTGACCTCTTTTTTTTTTTTTTTTTTTTTTTTTTTTTTTTTTTTTTTTTTTTTTTTTTTTTTTTTTTTTTTTTTTTTTTTTTTTTTTTTTTTTTTTTTTTTTTTTTTTTTTTTTTTTTTTTTTTTTTTTTTTTTTTTTTTTTTAGGCTCTCAGTCTTTTTACCAGGAACACAATGATGATATTTTGTGCCTCACTGTTAATCAACACCCCAAGTTTACCAACATAGTGGCAACTGGCCAAGTAGGTATGTTTGTATTTTTGTAAAAAGAATGAACATAAGAGCATGCAATTAGGGCTTTGTAAGTTCATGATAAATCACAAAAATTATCTCCGTTTGTACGAGTGTTACTCAGTTACCTGTCCTCTTTACATGTTTGGGGTTTTTTTTGAGTGTAATTTAATAAAGCTGACAAAAAATGTTGAGGCATGAAAGAAAAATAAATTTATCTTTTGTCTGGAGTATTATCAAAACTATTTTTTTCCAAAATCTTAAGCCCCATGAAATTAGTCTGTTTTTATTGAACAATCAGCTTGTGTTAGACCTTCCAAGGAAGCTGGATCAAGCTAACCTTTATTTCTATATGGATTAAAGCCAGAATTCTTCAAATATGTCACACTGTGTAGGTTTTATCAGGCAGATTTATAATATATACTTGGTGGTCTGATACTACATATTTGTAATATTCCCAGCGGAACCAAAACCCTAATGGTGTTTCCCTACAGATAAATTTAAACTTAGAGGGAAAATGTATATATTTTTCATAGTGCCATTAAAATTGACCTATGAACTAACAAGGTTAATAAAAAGGAAAAAGAAAAAGCAAAAACCCCGCTGTACATCTGCATAGCTAATAGAAACTGCTGTTTCTAAATTTTGCAGAATAGGGAGCTTTGTAGTCCTACAATCTGGTTGCAGTTGTTTGTCAGCAGATTCAAACCCACATTGTTTTCTTCAGCACTTAGAATATGGAAAACCCCCTTATTTCATTTTAGTCAAAATAGTTTATTTTTTTATGTAGCTGTATTTTAGAGGCTTCATCTAAATAAAGTCACAGTTTATTTCACGGTTTACTACCTGCTTTTCTGTGTATTTTGGATTTTTAGGTGCATGTCTCATTAAAATTGACTTATTGATAATAGTAACTGCTTAGCTAAAATAGCTTGATGTCTTGGTAAGTTTCTTACCTCACATCATTTTAAACAAATTTTTAACAGACATTATTGTAATGTCAAAAAATTATCAGCAGATATTTGCCTATGGCTTGATTGCATAGAACGTTTGCAGGAATTACAGGCCTTTTATTGCCTTTAGGAATTTGCTTTTTCAGCATATTTCTTAATCTGCTTGCCTTTCCGCATGGGAAGAATATGAAATTTTTTCTTTCTTCCTTGTTTATCTTACCCAAGAAAAACACAGATTTAATGCTTTTTTTTTTTTAATTTTATTTCATAATCATTGCTACATCAACTGGCAGTACAACAATTTTAACTGGTTTGTAATATGGATTAAGGCATACAAATCAGGGCAGATGACAAAAATTAGACTGAAAAACATATATTTTAAGGAGGAAATTAAATCAGAAAAATGAGCAGGGAGCAAAATATCTTCAAACAACACTTACTTTTACATTTTGAAGCGATATTAAGGAGTACATACTCCTTAAAGAACATGCTTAACTGCTGTCACTTTTCCTACTGATATGATTGGCACAAAGTAGTCTTCAAAAGATTTACTAAAGTATTATCTCAAGTATTTTTAAACTGTAATGCTATGCAGTCTTGGTAATACTTCACAGTATGTGAACCTTTAAATTCCTGATTTCTTAATGCTCTGTAGGAGAATATTGGGTGTATTTGCCATTTGTCAAGGTCAGACTCAAACTCTACTTCTTAGCAGAAAAGCAACAAGCATTTTTTTTCCACTTAATTTGTTAAAATACAAATAACATGAAAAAAATCTTTTTCATTTACTTTGGCAGAGAGAGACCTAACATACACCAAAAGTAGATTTTTGTGTTGTAACTCAAAATGGAAATCAAAATATATTCATTCTATGGTTTGTTTCTGATGTGACTTCCTTTTATCAGTAATTATTCATCTTTAACACTGAAAGCATTATTGGTGCTGCTGCAATGCAAAGAGATGACATCAAGGTGTGTGTTAAGAAATTACACAAAATATGGGGTATATTTTCTTTAGAACTTATTTCTGATCTAATTATCTTTCTGCTGCTTTTCCATTACAGGAGACTCAGCAGATATGTCAGGTAAGGGAAATAAAATTTTAACATCTTCAGGTCTAGTTAGCCTATCTAGTAGCCTTCTGCAGCTTTGTAGAATCATAAGTGATGTGAATTCATTCTTAGTTTATTGAAACCCTGTATCAGTCATATTACTGTCAGCACTGAATATAAACCACAACAACTCAGCAGACTGTAAATATTGAAACAATAAAAATGTTAGAACACACTTAAAAACTACTTTTGTAGTTACACATTCCCTTATTGCTGCCTAGTGATTAGTGAGTTCTAATACATCCTACTACTGTAGCATTCCTGTGTATGCTTGCAGATTTTGTAGACATGTTGGGGCTGACAGTTAATGTTTGCTTTAGACATTCAATTGAGTATAATTTTAATATGCATTTCTAAAGTAAATTCCATTGAGGAGGCCTAGGTGACTGAGTGAAAAAACCAATCACCTTTCACATTTGTGTACAATTGTCATGCA